CTATGGGCTGCTTATAGTCCATAGGCGTCGGGCGCCCTAACAGGGTAAGGAGGGAAGGGTATGCCTCTCCTCCCCCCCCCCCCCCCCCGTACCCTCCCCTCCACCCATTTAGCGGGAAATTTTCGTTAAATTTCCCGCTAAATTTAGCGAAACTTTCCCCGCAATGGCTTCCAATCCCAGATGGCCGACGTCTTTTCACGTATGCCGCAGGGCTCGGTTCTAGGACCGCTTTTATTGCCTATTTACATAAAAACTTTCCCCGTTAAATTGAGCAGGAAATTTAGCGAAAATTTTCCCGCTAAATATAGTGAGAAATTTAGCGAAAATTTCCCCGCTAAATCGAGCGGGGAAAGGGACGTCGCGTGACCTCAACGCCAATTCAGTTTCCCCGCTAAATTTAGCGGGGAAACTTTGACGCCCCATAGTGCAACGCACGCAGTTACGTGGACGCCGACGCCGCTCAACCCGGAAACGGGCGCCTAAGAGCCGCGCTCTAAAACCAAAAGTGTGATTCCTCCCTTCGCCCTTTTAAGTCAATTTGCTTTCCCTTTAACTATCACCAGGGAATATTTCAGGGAAACGTTTGAGACGTCTCTTGAAAGAGAGGTCCCAAACGAGTGTAATTCCCTGGAAAAAGGAAGGATAAGCACGCTGACGGCATGATACCTAAACAAATGTCTGCTTGTGACCCTATAATTTAGCTGTCATCGCAGTTGTGATCAGTGAATTCTGTGGTTCAAGCGCACTGGCCGTAATGAATTTTTTCAACGTTTGGGAAAACAAAATGGGGCTTACAAAACGTATTCTGTCGTCTGCTTCCTTCCGTAGGCTGCCGGTCCGCTAGACGTGCCACTGTCGTCCTTCGCAACTACTCCCAGTCGCTTTCGAAGGAATTTCTAGCACTAACCTTTATCGTATTTGCTAATACTACGTAGGGTCTTCGAACATGACTTACTTACCGACTCACCAGCTCTGGTCACTTAGTAACCAGAGCTAGTGAGTGGATAAATTTTTATTTATCCGCTTTTTAAAGGGGGGGGGGGGGGGGGGGGGGGGAGGCACGTGCCCCCAAGCTTTCTCGTAGTCGGCGCCTATGATTAGGATGACCTTCGAGGAGTCAAGCAATGAAAATTGAATTTTTAATAAGGTGAATTCAACGTGTAGCTTTCGCGATATACGAAGCACGGATGTCACCGGTGACTCGCGCGCTCGTATCTCGTCGTATCACGTGATCAAACGTTGTCACTGTGTCAATGGGCCTTAAAACATGGAAACATGGCGAAGCATTTCATAGTGGCTGACCCGTATACGGAACTAATTAGTTCAGCTTTTTTTTTTTTTTTTTTTCTTATTCCTCGTTTTGCTCACGTCTAAAATGGGCCGACCATCCTCCATGTCTCCGCGGCAATCCTTGAGCCGCGTGCAAAGATATGCGCACGGCGTTCTGCGCTCCATTCCGCTCTTCTCCCTTCTTCCCAACAAAAATCGATAGAGTTCATTTCGCAGTTAAAATATGCACATTTTATCGCCGTAGACGCCTTTGTTTTCATCTATTTTTATGCGGTTTGGCCGAAAATCTCGGTGGAGCAGTGGCCGAACCTTTCCGACCCTATAATACAATCGACACCAGTTAGAAAGCAGAATCTTAAAAGCGCTGGGATTAAACGAAATGGGTCGCCTACGTGTGTCTAGTACTATTAACTATGTAGTAATAAGCCATGATGATAGAACCTTATATTATACGGATGTGCAAACTGCGCGAGTCGAGAAATACTTCCGTCTGCAAACAGGCGTTTAGTTTCCTAGTAGCTTTTTTCTTTTTACAAACTGTAGCGGCAGAAAGCGCAGTATTTCTGCGGCAACTTGTCAGATAAAACGTTGGATAAAAATGGACCCAATTTGGGCCGTTGTCGCACGGTCCTGATGGACTCAATGAAGTCCCGATTACCTCAATAATACCATGCATCCGTAATTCAGTCAAAAAGCGGAGCTTTTGTAATTTAGTTACACATCAATTGCATTTTCCACGTAGAGCTTTATGAAAACGCGTGTTTAGCATGAGGGTAAAAACTAGTTTAGTTTTACGTTAAACTTTATTGACTGCTCTCCGAGCTGTTGCAGGATTACATAGAGGCAGCAACAAGAAGCGAAGGATTTGACATAAGCGTAAAATCGATAGGACAGCTCACGGACAGCTAATCGAGGCAACATAGAAATCAGCACGTTGTACCTAAATATCAGTAGTGTGTAAATATTGCCCCGTGCGTAGCGGAGTTGGCAACGGACGCGGCTGTCATACGGAGGAAAGAGGTTCGATCCCGGCTCGTCCCGGATGTTTCTTTTATAGTTCGATTTGTACACTTCTGGAAAGTTCCAGCTCATTCTCGGCTGACATCGTGTGTTCTGGTACGAAACATTCCCGAACTGACAGCATATATAAAACCAGCGGTGACTGACTACTTCGGGGCACTTGCCTTTCCGTCTCCGACGCAGTAGTAATAGTTTCGTTTTACGTGAAAAGGCGTTCGCCTCACTAAACATTTAATGGAAATGCCCCGCATCTGTCTAACATTTTCGATCCGTGACAACATCGAACACGAAAGATAAAGTCACGACCAATGACGCCTACAACCCGTGAGAATATAGCGGTCTATAGTGTGTACCAGCCGAAGTTTTTGTTTTAAAAGCTTTAGGGCAAAGTAGAGATTACCAGCCAATCGCCGATTTCATTTTCTCTTCCATGCCCGACGCACGCGAGCGCGCACCATCTCGCTCTGGAGGAGTGCTTTTCCCCACTAACACGGATGCGCTGTGGCGAAGCGAGACACGCAGGATCGCCATGTCTACTCCGTGGGTGTCGTTTCCCCGCAGCGCAGCACCGCGCGATGAGAAGCGCACTCAACGGAGCTGACTAACCCGCCCGAAGTGACTTCGAACTAGGAAAAATACTACGGAACTTCCAAGTGCTGTCCGTGTTCGGTAAGGAGATCAAAGCAAAGAGTACGTTATTCGAAGCGATAATCGAGCAGCTTAGAAACTACGAAAAGGCCTACCGTAACGATCCAAAAGTTCAACAAAAAAAAAAAAGGAAAAAAAGAAAATCTCTTGGCACAATGTTTGCGCCAATTTCTTGCAACTTGGCGAAATTTAGCAAAACGTAGCAAGGTAAGCACTCTAGTCGCACTTTGCCGCAAATGGCGCAGCTATTTCATTCTGCACTGCGGCCTCGTGCGTTAATATATGTTTGCCGATCGAGTATAAATGTATGTGTGAGCATAGGTATGAATCTGTAGATCTGCACGTGTGCGTGTACGTTCGTGTGTGTGTGCGCGTGCGCGGGCGTGCGTGTGTGCGTGCGTCTGTGTGTAGATGTATTATCACTGTAACTGTAAGCCTATGTGAGTGTCCACAGTTGTGAGTCTTCATAATCTTGAAACAACACTACACGGTCGATATCCTGCTGAGCCCTATCCACCCCCCCCCCCCCCCCCCCCCCCCTCCGATTGCAGTTAGGACTCCGGAGTACATACACCACGAAGGCAAAATATAAATATATAACCATCGCAACAGACAGTCGCATGACAATACTGCGGCGATACTCGGAGCTGAATGAACGAATGATAGCTCCATGATATTTATGTCCTTATGTTTTCACTTTCATATGTATAAATATTATTATTATTATTATCGTTCGTTCGTTTGCTTTTGTATCTCTCTTCTATTGTGCTTCTAATAAAAGGTCGAACAGTACGCATGCCGGAAGGCAAAACACCAGCGTCGCCTCGACTCCAGCGTCTCGTCTTGGACACAGCGTACGACACTTGGTGCACACAGCGACATGCAGTCGCGGCACCTCTCGAGGCGCACGGCTGCCCAAGCAGGTCGCCCTCAAAATCCAGGGCCTCGGCGCCCCCGGTGAATTTCCTTCGCGGGGTTAAAAACGGATCAATCAAGTGAGCGAACGACTGCGCGCGCGGGCGTACGTGCCGCCCGTTGGCTGCCTTCACAAAACGCGTCCTGTGCGCCGTGCACGAAACAGAAATGTTCTACGCGCTACGTATAGCCTAGCACAGGTTTCACCGTCTCGGTCGAGCGGAGGGCGCTTACGAAGCTGTATCAGAAGCTGCGGTCGGATACGAGATTGGTCGGCGTATGTTAATGACGGTCCATTCGAACTGCAGCTGTTTCGCGCTTCGAGATTAACAAGCAAAAAAGTGACAACAATAAAAAAAAAAGCATTTCCTTGTTAGGTAATGTAGGAGAAGTCACGGAGGCCCTAGATACAACGCTACGCGAAGTATGACCACATTCATGTAGCTACGCCGTGAAGCGATGTATGTAGGTCAAATTTGATCCAAGCTCTTGTCGTCACAATTCCTAATGGCGTCATACGGCTTCCTCATGTTTACCCTTTTATTTTTCGTGGAGCTGTTCTAAAATGGCGTTACCGGCTGACGTGTGACGACAATCAACGTAGCGAGAGATTTGGAACTTCCAACGATGCATGCATGTACGGAAATTCTGCAACTGGTTTGGTTTATCGGTCGCTCTTTCCCAATTTGTGGTTCCTTCCACTCGCTAAAATAACGTTCTCGCAAAACTTGTAGAAGCGGGCACTGCGCGTTTCCTGTAGCTTCTGCAGTGTCTGCTTCTACAAGTTTTGCAGAAGCAAAACACTGCAGAAGCTACAGGCAACGCGCAGTGCCGTGCACCACAGAAGCAGACGACACAAAAGCAGCCGACGCGGGAATGTATTTTATCATTTCACGCGCATTTATCTCTGCCAAAACGCGAAGGCCCGCATCCGTCGCTATCGGTGACGCACAACAGGCAAAAAAGGACCGTCAAACAAAAAATATGCATCAACAAACAAACGAGCGCAACAATCGCGCAGCGGTGGCACCGCGCGCGCCAGCGTCGTACTCTCCGCAAAAACTGTCGTGAGAAGTTCGCTACGTAAGAGCAAAGCGGACGCTGGCGCATGAGCCGACACAGGGGTTGGATTTCAAGCGATATCTTTATTCAGGAGTCGAGCGAAGGACACCGTCTATTATAATATCAGCGTGTCAAAAAACGCTGCCACGGCGACGCCATTCGACATTCCTCGCTGCACGGGAGGAGAGGCCCCTCCCCCCCTTCCGCGCCTCGTCTGCTCCCAAAGGGATGCTTCCGGTCATAAAACTTCCGGTCTGACATCGCAGCGCCACCCTCCGTCAAAAACCCGTGTCACATTCGCGGCGGAACAAGCGGCAAGAAGCAAGAAAACAAAAAGGAAAAAAGCGAAGAAAGCCCAGAAATGTTTGGCCGCGCAACGGCGAGCGGACAAGTCGTTGTCTGGCCGATGTTGTGTCACCGTAATGGGCCATGTCGTTCCCGTTCGTTAGGCCCCTAATTCGTGTCGAATGCACACATCGAGCACCGCTTTTCGAAGGCCTCTGACCGGGCAGCTACTCCCAGGTAGTACGACCGCGGCGGTCGCCGACGGAGCGGCAAAACGCGGCCGACGACGCTCGCTCTTCGCCGAACCGACTCGCGGGCATGGTGGCCACGGCGGCGGACTTGCAACGGCGTTCCCGAAGATTAGCGAGGTAGGGAATCCATCTTTGCTCCGTTGTGTGCCACGACGGACGGCGGCGGTCGCGGTGAGCCGACCGCGCGACTCGCCGTTCGCCCTGCGTCGCCCCGTCGCCGACGACAACGTCTATGACGAGACCTCGCCGCTGGACGTGCGCCGACGACGTATCGCTCAGCGGGGCGCCCATACCTGCCGTCGCCGTCTCGCTCCCGTGAACGATTCGGGGGACGTCGTCCGCCGCGATCGCCGCTACCACGTGTCCCAGCAGCGAGGAGACGACAAAGAAAACCGCAGCCCCAGCGCCTCGGGAGAGCCAGCGGTCGCAGTGCCGGCGATGTACGCACACAACGGTTCGGCGGCGGCGTCACCGCACGACCTCAGCGCGGATCCACAGGTTACCCCCGAGAAGACGGCGCCCATGAAGCGTCGCAAGAGCGACGACGGCGAACGTTCCAAGAAGCCCAAGCTCGAGACGCAGCGCGGCTGCGAGTCGGACAGCGGGCTGGCTCCGCCGCCGCCGCTCGCACCCCACCATCACCACCACCACCACAGAAAGCCTGCGACTGCAGTGGCGGCGGCGGCGACGCCGCCGGGCCCCCGGCCGGCCGAAGACGTCGAGCAGCGGAGCGCCAGCAACGGCAACAGCGTTCACGGCGTGTGTACCCTCAAGGAGGGATCGCTCAAGCTCAAGATCTCGCTGCACAGGCCGCTGGCTACCCCTGATGGAGATTGCTTATCGCCGGCGAAGCTACCGCACGACGCCGATAGCGGGCTTCCGAACGACAGCCCGCAATCTGGAGCGATGCACGCCTCCAACGCCCCCCCGTCGCTGCCGGCGCAACTAGAGCACGCCTCCAAGTACTCTGGTGTCCCCAACGCGCGCGAGAGTGGTGTCAGTCACCTCGACGAGCAGCTACGACCGGAGCCCGAGGACCCTGCACGCGATGTGCGAGTGAGCGACTCGTTTCTGGGAAGCAGCGACGGCCCCCTGCAGTCGACAACGCGGGTCAGTGGAAGTCGGCCGAGGAAGAACCTCTCTCCCGGCCACTACGTCCCGTACACCGTTCCGCAGAACAGGAAGAGACTCATCCAGGACACCTCCAAGCTGAAGAAGAGGGCTAGCAACCTCGACCCGGCGGCAACAGACAGGACCAAACCCCAGCAGACGTTCCGCCACACGCAGGTCGGGCAGAACGGAGGCGTGGTGCACCATAGCTCCATCCTGGACCACCCGAGCGTCCACTCGAGGATGTTTGCGGACGGTCCACGTGCCACCGAGGCTTCCAGGAGTAGTCCCTTGGTTGCTCGACTGGCGGCCCCCAATGCAGCAGCCAAGGGTTCCACGTGGAAGCAGCCGGCAAAAGGCAAGGCCAACAACAGTACGGTGTCCCCCGAAGAATACCAGCCGCTGGATCTCTCCAAGCCGGTCGCCAAGAACGTTAACCTCGCGGCTGCATTGGCCAGGCCCGTTCGAGAGGCCGCGGCGAAGACTCGGGAGCACCGCTACATTCCGCCAATTGGTGTGTTCTACATGAAGCCTCGGAGTAGACAGAGACTGGACGGAGTCATTCAGAAGTTGTGGGCAACGAGAAATGGTCCGGACAAACCACGTTGAACGGTGTCCCTGGTAGTTTCGTTGTGGGACAGTGTTTCATTTTTTTTTCTTCGCTCCAGTAACAGTTTACAAACTCGGGTTGCAGTTGCGAGTGTATGTTTGTAGTTGTGTGAACACAGCAAACAGTTGGATTTTTTTTTCTTCTTACATTAAAGGACATTGGTACAACGTTACAGCACGTCCGCAAGCTCTCTCCGACTCTGATAAGCCCCTCTTATACTCGACACATGATCTCTTGCTTTTGAAGTTTGTTGGGTGAGCTACTGACACAGCCTTCTGTTTCTGCTATGCAGGCCACAAACTCTCAGACTCGACACAAAGGCTGGTGGAGCCTCATTATGCACAATGTTATTTCCCGCCAAGCTGCACGACATGCAGTGCGCCAGTTTTGTAAATCTCGCAGATAAGAAAATGGCGTGCCAGCATCACCCCGTTGCGGGACACACACACTTGTGGGTGAGTACAAGTGCATCCGCTACTGCATGACAAGCACAGGGTAACCCGGGTTCGGAATGTTGCTTTCAACTCTTACTGCAAAGTTTATTACTCAAAGGGTGGGAGCATTTAAGAATGTACTTTGCCCATTGTACTGATGCAGTGGCAAATCCACACCAAGTTTGCATTTTTAACAAGGACACAATCATGCCTAAAAAGTTGGTCAATGTGTGACCATAGCGTTGATTAAGTGAAGCAACCTTAATAAAAATGGACCAAAGAATGAAGGGCAGTCATGGTTGCATCTATCCATGCGCAGCTACGAAAGAACATATCGTAAAAGCTAAAAGGCCCGCGAAATATTTTTTTCCAAGGGGGGGATTTGTTCGCGCCAGCTTTGTCCTCATTTGGTCATTGCCCCTGCTACGTATTCTGAAAAAAAAGTATATATATATATAAAATAATAAAGTTTCACTTCCAAAGTGAGCAAGGTCACATTTAACCAACGCAAAAAGAAAAGAAAAAAAAACGCATTGTCGGTAGGAGCCGGGTGTGGCAATCGGCGAGCCCCAGGCCCGAGCCCCCCGAAAGCCCCAAAAAAGCAGCGCTCGCGGCAGGCGCGCCGAGTGTCGCCCTCGCGTGGCGCACTCGGCAACCGCGGGTCAGGTCTTTTACCCCGTTGGCGGCGCACGGGAGGAGAGGCAGACGCACGGAGCAGGGACACGAGTCCGAGAGAGCGGTGCGCGATATGACGCCGGCCGCCAAAAAGAAGGGCAAGTACGACGCCAAGTTCAAGCTGCAGGTGATCCACTTCGCCGAGCGGTTCAGCAACCGGGCCGCGGGCTCCAAGTTCGGCCTGAACGAGTCCACCATCCGCGGCTGGCGCAAGGTGAAGCGGGTGCCCAGCGGCGCGCTGGTCGTCCCTGCCGCCTCGTGCTGCGCGCTGCCCCCGCACGCCCCGGCCCCGGCCGTGGCCCCGAGACGGACCCCCGAACTTGCCAACGCGCTACCGCACGAGCCGGCACGTGCGGACGCGATCCCGGCGCCCGCCGACGGGCCGCTCCTTTACCGGAAGTGTGAGCAGCCGCGCGAGCCGGTGGCCGCCGCGGCTGAGCCGGCGTCTCCGCCAACTCCGCCGCCCGCGCGGACTTTCCTGCCGACGGTGCGGCCCAGCGGCCCGCGCCGCGTGCTCGTGCGACGCTCCCAGCTGATGACGGACGGCGGGTTCCCCGAGCTGACCGTGCCCTTCACCGTGATCGCCGAGAAGGCGCTCCGGGCGCTCTACCAGCAAAAGCAGCAGCACCACGTCGTCGCGCAGCACGAGTCGTCCTACCAGGCGCCCCACATGGGAGGCGGCTGCGTGACCACGAACCGCGAGGTGTTCGCCAGCTTTTTGGGACTGACACCCAACAGACTCGTGGACAACGTGACGTGACGCTTGCGCGTGCCCTTTTTTGGGGGGAGTACGGTGAGGGGGGGTCCGGAGGGGACTTTGGCACAGGTCGTAGTCACGTGGTCACTTGTGCCAAGTCGGCTGTCCCGCGGGGACGTTTTGCGAGATTGCTAACGACGCGAAAGAAGATATATGAAGAAAAAAAACACATATTTACGCGCGCGAACGGTTCACTACTTACAACACAACAAGTGCAATACTTTCTTTTATATTTCTTTTTTATTATTATATGCGAGGAAGCGATCAGCTTTCGTGCGCGATCGCACCGGCAAAACTCGTAGACCGGCGGTGAGGGACACTTACTAACTGTATGCCTACGCACGTGGGCAACAAAATCTTTCGCGCTCGCAATCTCAGAGAAATGCATCGACACGTGCCACGCTCCAGCTCGGGTTCTATCTTTCAAACAAGAGCAGAACCGGTAAAAAAAAAACGTATACTTATATATTTATATGTATATACATGGTTCGTAGAGTGGTTCTTGTATTGCAGCCAAACCTTTTCTGCTAGCTCTTTACAAACAATCGCACCATCTTGCCTTTTTGCCACTTGTTTTCCTGAAGTCCAATCCTACGCTGTGTCGTGCCCCACAATGTAGTCCGGCATTTTTACAATGCAATATTATAGACGAATGGTTTTGTTAATGGGACAAAGTACCAAAAGCCTGAAGAAATCTGTTAAACTCTTTGCTCAACTTTTTGCTTGAGTGTTTGCACGACAAGCACTGACGTGTCCCTCGACTAGTATGTATCTTTGCCCATTTGGCTTCTAGGTGCTATGGTGGGACGATGCCTCGATCCTGCGTCTTCCTCCTTTGAGCAGTCAAACTGCCTTCATTTCTTGCCTCCTATCTGTTTTTGTCGGATAATTCGAGTCTTCCATGGGACATTCTACATTCCAGCACGCCTGTCCCTCCCTCACAACGAAGCGCTCGTGCAAACCTTTGTTTTTTTTTCTTCTCGCGCTGTGAAGCGCGTTTCATAGTCAAACCGACGTGTCTTTGTCTCCTTACTGCTGTTTTGCCAGCTGTGCAAATCTCACAAGTGCATTAAAAGAGACTGCTAAAATATCGTAGCCAGTTCTTTCAACAATCCTAAGTGATTTCAGTGGTCACGAAAGAGAAACACGAATGTGAGCCACCTTCTGTTTTTGACTGCCATTCAATGACAAGTTACGATGGAATCTCCAAAGACACAAAGACATTCAGGACATCAGCACGTTCAGCGAGCGGTGCATCGTGCCGCGCAGCAGACTCGGGTTTGGTAGGACTAAAAAAGGATGTATTTGGGGCAGTAGAAACAATGAACATTTCAAGATCGAGAGACTTCGAAAAGGGTCGTTCAAGGTCGGTTCATTGGATGTAGCTCCAACAAGAACATGTACCAGAAAAGAAGGACGTTTGAGCACCAATATGAACAAAAGCCTCTTGAACATACCATAACTAGGATTACTAGTCAAACGGTTCTTTAGAATGATTTGCTGGCAACAAATGAGGCACATCAAAGTTCATCAGTTTTCGAAGCACCCATGATTGGTAGGTATTCCTACAAAATATACACAGGAATCCCTCTCGACCTACAACACTGGCTCAGAGCTCCAAGTTCTGTTTCTAGTCCCTCCAACTGAGATAAGCTTGCTCCAAGTTTGATTTAACAGTCAACCTTTAAAAATCGACGCAATCATTCGAGTTGTTATGGCTCAACATTATTTAAAGCTTTCAATGAGCAGCAAGAGGCCCTGTGGGAGATTTCTCCTCTCTATTGTAGGACAAGGTTTTCTTTTTATGCCACTAAGTATGTTGACCATAAGCTTTTTTGTTTGGTGTCTAAATCAGCTTTGCACTTCCCAAGCACCTCCGATATGACCTGTAGTATCACATCAAACAATCTAACAGAGCTGACAGTCATGAAATACTGATTGTTGCTTCCACACAACTTTCAAAACTAAAAAGGGGCTGAGAGTTGCCCACCACACAAACTTAAACCTCGAGTGAGGGGCCGGATATAAAAAGAGATTAATATGCCCCATTCTTCTTAAGAGGTGCATCTCTTGCTGCCATTCTCATCTTAACAATAACTATGTGGAGTTCCAAAGGAGGGTCTTTACCCAAATTCATTATTCTTACAAAAATCCATATCAATGTTTTCCCTTTCATGGCAGCTATGCAGCATACAAATGAAATTCCTTGCTAATACGCGATTTGCTTACCGGCAGTTTTGCTATGCAGGGCGCAAGTTCTTCTGTTTCTTTTGCTCGGGTTGTGGTGACGTTAGAATGCCAAGCTCTGATTAGCTCTGATTAAAAGATAGTGGGTAAGCCTCAAAGCATCGGCATTCTGACGTCACCACAATCCGAGCAAAAGAAGCAGACGAACTTGTTCTTTGGATACATTTTTCTTTCTGCGTGGATGTTGTCACTTCTGTCTAAGGGTTCTGCTTCTTTTGGGAATGTCGAAAAGCATGCGAGCGTAGGTTCGCTCCTGTGAGAACCATACTGCCGTCTGACCGCTAATGCGACATTTGGAAGATCCCACCTGAAAGAAAAGTGGCCCGCGAACGATGGCGACAGACGTGGCACTCACCTGATCGGCAGCCGTCAGTGGACACACTTGAGAGAGGTACTCGACAAGAGCCAAGTGGTCGCCCAGGTGGAAGCAGCGCCCTTTGCCTTGGCTGTAGAGCCACTCTGCCTTGAGGCTAGTCGTCCACGGAAGAGAAAGCAGACGTCATCAGAAAGGGTTGGCACACGGTTACAACGAAAACACGACAATAATCACCACCCACTTGATTCGCTCAAATACGTCGCAACATCACGAGAGCTGACTACCAAAAGGAAGCCATCCTCCCCCGACTCTAGTCGTCTACACAGCTTGTTTTCAGGCAAGGAGTTCTCAATATAGTGGGTGGGGAAGTTATTGTGCTACAGTCTGGCAGGATGAGACCGACAGGAAGGTCCTCCAGTTGTCCCGTCTCCAGCATGAGCTTCCTACCTTCGATAGCGTTTCGGCATCTCGCACCCTCGAGCGTGGATGCAAAGTCGAGGCACGGCGAAAGGCAATGGGTGCGCACTGGAGGCAGGACATTTACAAGAGATACCCCACCGTTCTCATCTTGTCGGCGACCATAAAAACTGGGACGAAGCCACATATTTACGAATAAAGTCGGTGCGTCCACTTCCCCGCAGAGGGCGGACCATTCCGACCCACGGAAGGGACTTGGCAGACGACGATCATCAGAGAGATTGGACTCGCGGCTGCGCCGTAATTCCGAGCATCTCGGATGTCACGCTGGGTGCCCCGGTGTCAGAGGCGGAGGTCCCAAGCTCCCAAGCTCCCCAAAGTCAACTTTGTTTGCATAAAATCACTGATGTATACCAGCCAAAGGTTTAGTTTTTGGTGAAATAGCAAACAGTGTCAACAAAATAGATCCAGGCAACATTTCAACCAAAACGTCATATCTCAGCAGACCCCTCCCCCTCCCCTCCACCAGCCGAATGCCTACAGAACCCCCCCCCCCGCCAGTGCCTGACCCATTAATCCACCCCTGCCCGGCGTAGGCATTTTGTACGGTCTGGACGACTTGCCACTCATCTAACATATGTATGAGTGTGTATTGTTTCTCGGGTGTAAGTGTTCTTCGCTGAAGTACCAAATTTCGTCTAACACTTGGCCTAGAACGTAACTGAGCCACAAGAGTATGTGCGAAGGATAGAGCCATGACCGAGATGGGCCTGTTTGTCGAACAAGGAACTGTGGGCAACGTGATCAGCCACAAGCAGTTGGAAGCACTTTTGGGGAACGTAAGGGCTTGTGTAATGACGAGCTCTGCCGTGATAGGGTGCAGCCAAATACAGAGCCATGGATATCTAGTAGGTGTATAAGGCTAATCGTGAAAGTCAAGTAAACCTTAATGAAGTTAATGCAAGTGTGCGGGCGAGCTGGTTAAGAACTGGTATTTTTTAACCCTGGAGAGTGGGGAAACGAAAAGACAGGACAAGACAAATTGGAGATTCATGTTGTCCTGTACCGTTTCCCCACACTCCAGGGTTAAAAAAATGTAATTGTAAAGTAAACCTGGTCTGATGCTAGCTTTTACAAAAAGAGACGTGTGCTTCTTGATCAGTCTTTGCAATGAAAGATCATGGGTTAGCCTCTAGAATTGCAGATCAACATTTTCATCTATGCAATTCCTCTAACTAAAGGTCAGTTTCCAAATCCTTACAGCACTAACTCGGCACTGATAAGGAGCTGCATGAGTGCCGATTTTTCGGCAGTTTCAAGCGGAGTCGGGAGGAATGTCACTGGGAAAAAGGGAAAACAATGGTAAATGGTTTGGGTTGAGAACTTTCAGTGTCTCAGTGCTTGTAACCCCAATAAACTCTCATTTGACAATGGATATAGTAATGAGCACTAAGAACACAGCCAAAGCACCTCCTCCAAATCATAAACACTCTTGTACTCGGCATAAAGAAATGTCCACCATCAAAAGGATACTTGATTGCACTGAAGAGGTTACAATCAGTTTTTAAAACAGGTATGTTGCTAAGAATGCTTTTATTACTGGTACTAAACTCATAAAAAACACTTTCGCTGCAGAGAGTCTTCGACACAATAAGTGAGGAGGAAATCATAGTGGTGAAACATAGGGTAAAATACAGTTCTGATATAGCACTGAGTCAGTGCCAAATATCAGTGCTGATTCGGCACTGCGCTGCACATGAGAACAAGCCTTAACTCCCATTTTGCTGCTCATTGTCACTACCAAACATATTAATGCGAAAGCATTAACTGTCTCATGGAGCGGGCCGCACCAAACGGCACTTTAAATCTTTTCTCCAAGTGAAGCCAGCTCTTAGCTATGAAACCACGCGAAAAGCTAGCCAACGGCACCTAAATCCCCCGATCCCAAAGGAGCTGAGTAAAGCTGATGGATTTTCGGCTTCGGTCCCATTGGCTGGCGCAGGTCGACGAGGCTCCCATTGGCCGCTGCGCATCAGTTTCAACGACCGCTCACCCCATGGCGCTGTGTGTCCGTCAGCGCACCGTTAGCACGGAGCATCCAAGGTCAGTGCGCCCAAGAGAGGGCGTGCGCTGACTGGCGACGAAAAGTATGCAGCAGACGGCTTGCATGCTTTCACATTCACAACTCATAAGAAGCGCTTAGGTATACCTCGAGCTTTTTTTATTACGGAAACTAGTATCACTCAAACTATGTAGAAATTCAAATCGCTAAAGTCGAACTCGCATGCTCTCTCATGTGCAATTAGGACTCTGCAATTAAACTAAAAGGAGCCAAAAAGAAAAAAAAAAGATGCTCCCGAGATTGTTTGAAGAGGTCGGCAGCTGTTATAAAAAAAGACAATGGCAAACAGACAGCTTCTCTAAAAGCAATGAGCTTGGCTAAGGTTAGCCATAAAACATTTTTTTAGATTGGCTGATTACAGTCTATTTTAATTGTTTATTATTACAATGAAAGACGAGCTTACGAAGTAGGCATTTTTCTAATATTTATGCCAACGCAGCTATCATAAGAAAACAAAAATAAATGAAAGGCGTTTACAACACCCTGTAATGCCGAATTAGATATGCTTGGTAGAAGAGCGTGTTGGTTAAAGTCATGGATGAAGAAAGAATAAACAATTAAAACAGGGACAACACAACCACATCTTTCAACTAGCAACAGACGAGTAAACTTTCAACAGCGAGCAGTGGGAGTAGGGGAGAGAAGGAAAGATAAAACACGCGAAGTGCAAGTCAGGGTGGTAGGGTTATCTCGGATTTTAAAAATTCAACCTCAGTTTTCGTCAGCAGGAGGGATGGGTTTGACACGTTATTTTTTGCTGTGGTCATGGCGAATGATTCTATGATTTCCCTGCCGAATCTACTGTCATGCCCCCCAAGGATTTTTGTGTCATCAAAGAGGGGATGACAACGCAAACACGAACGGGCATGTATGACTATGGGATGATAAGAATCTGGAGAAGCCTTAGAAACTTCGTTGTGATGTTCGCGGAGTCTGTGATTGGTGCATCTGCCGGTCTGTCCTATGTATTGATGGCCACAGCTCAATGTGATGGAATAAACTTTCTTCTCTTTGCATGGAATGAATTTCTTTTCGTGTTTGACAGTGCAGCCAATCGGAATCCTGTTCAACAACAGGATTCCGATTGGCTGCACTGTCAAACACGAAAAGAAATTCATTCCATGCAAAGAGAAGAAAGTTTATTCCATCCCATTGAGCTGTGGCCATCAATACATAGGACAGACCGGCAGATGCACCAATCACAGACTCCGCGAACATCACAACGAAGTTTCTAAGGCTTCTCCAGATTCTTATCATCCCATAGTCATACATGCCCGTTCGTGTTTGCGTTGTCATCCCCTCTTTGATGACACAAAAATCCTTGGGGGGCATGACAGTAGATTCGGCAGGGAAATCATAGAATCATTCGCCATGACCACAGCAAAAAATAACGTGTCAAACCCATCCCTCCTGCTGACGAAAACTGAGGTTGAATTTTTAAAATCCGAGATAACCCTACCACCCTGACTTGCACTTCGCGTGTTTTATCTTTCCTTCTCTCCCCTTCTCTCCCCTACTCCCACTGGGTATAGTCGGCTGCTCGCTGTTGAAAGTTTACTCGTCTGTTGCTAGTTGAAAGATGTGGTTGTGTTGTCCCTGTTTTAATTGTTTATTCTTTCTTCATCCATGCCGAATTAGAGTGCAGCTTTTGAGGAGGAGGAGGGAAGGGTACTGAGGGGAGGGCATACCCCTCCTCACCTCCTCATCCTCCCTGATACTCCTCCTCCCCTCCTCTTCCTCGTCCTGCCTTCCTCCCCTCATCCCTCAAGCTGCATTCCTCCTCTCCTCCCCCTCCCTCCTCCTCCTCCCACTACCCTCGTCCTCCTTCCCACGCGTTGCATCATGGGAAATGTCCCATAATGCACCGCGCGGTTACGCGGACGGCAACACCATTCAAGCTGGAAACGGGCACCTAAGAGTTGTGCTCTAAGAAAGAATGATAAATCAAACCGATCTTAAAAGGAGACATTTTTAGTCCAGCTTGTAAAGATGTCTCGCAACACTCAAAACTATTTTCTCAAGAAAAAATTTAAAAAAGGAATTGTAAAGGTATTTTATTATCTAGACTGACTTACCTCTCCCTCTGAGTCACTACAAAGTCATCCAGAACCCTCAGCCCCAGGCACCAGTTGATGACGTAAGGCCTGTAGTCAAAGCCACTGCAGCCACGGTCAAGGCTATGGAACCCTTGCACTATTGAAGACAGAGCATACTAGATATTTTTTCATGAAGAGCGTGAATTTAGAAACTGTGTTGCTACCACTGTTTTGCCCTAACTTTCCATTTTTTTGTATCGTGTCCGAACAATTTGACTACTATCTGACATTAACAAGTGCACCACTAAAGAGGCGTCAAGCTGTTTGTGGGTCACTCAATCTAGATAAATAAATAGATAAATAAATAAAAATACTAAAAACTCCTTGCATAAGAACGGAAATGAAAAAAGATATCCATCAAAAATTAGGTCCATGACTGAGCCACTCGATACAAAAAAATGTGATGGAGTTCAGACATACTAAACGATCCTGAATAATTTCAAATGAAATAAGACCATGCTCCCTGTCTCTCCTATGATACTGTGGAGGTTGCACACACTCCCAGCCCATAAATTATAATCATGCTCATCCCTATCTAAGAAGTTTCGGAAACTATGTGCTTACACTCCTGCTTTCGTCAGCCCTTCGCATAACTTCCGTTAACTAGTTGGGAATAGCCCGACGGGCGACTTGAAATGGTTAATACTTGAAGAAACATTAGGTTTTAACTTGATCCGCGGCATCGTCCTGTCGGGCACAGGAGAAAGGATACACGATGCCGCCAGTCATGTTGACGCACGGGTTCCCACCAATAGAGAAACTCTCCAGGGAGGACAGGTGGGAGAGAAAGGAAACCTGCACAGATAAATGCAAGCTTTGACATAGGTACAAGTGTACGAACATACAAAAGTGGCCACATTTAGTAAAGGTGATGCGAATTGTGCCAAAAACCCTGCTCGAGCAAAGTGAGGTGTGTAACTTGATTTAGAAAGACCACACGTAAGTATGAAACACGGTTACAGGCTGCTGGTTGCTAATCAAACGAGAGTTTGGTACAGGAGAGCAGCGAGATCGGACGGCAAGCCAGAACAGTCCCAGTTTGTGAAACCTCCGCCCACAAATAAATCGCTTTAAAATCCTCTTCCAGTGTTGTTGCAGAGAATTATAACTGAGCCACCGCCGTTGTTCGAATTCAGAGAACTGAATTCTGCTCCACGCTATCTTCTGGCGAATTTAAGCAGCGAGAAGACTGAGAGACCGAAACTAGGGTGCAAAAGAGCGGCCAAGTCCCACCAAGAAGCGACGCGAGCCTCTGCGATGGGCGTAAATAGCGAGTCATTGTGAGCCGGTCTGACAGTGGTGCATTACCCAGAAACACGTGGTTGTAGAAAAAGCATGCCACACTCTGACGTCTCCTTTGAACGTGGAGCTCTTGGAGCTTTTCTTCCTCTTTGTTTCGGCATGGAGGATTGTAGACAGCCTCACTTCGCCATTGAATAGTGTGGAGCAGAACTTAGTTTTTTGCAACTTAAGAACTGCAATAGCCATTTTCTTTTTTTTATATTTGCCATATAATTGGAGATAATCAGCCTGTTAATTATCACTTTACTTCTATACCCTGACATACATCGCAGTCATCAACGTTATACCGAATTACTTATTTTTTTTTTCCTTCAAGCGCTCGTTCCTTAAAAATTCATTTCAGTCGTATGTGAAACACTGTGCACAGGGTGCACGTGGTGTTTGAGAGCATAACGGTGGTTTCAGCAAATAAAAAGATGTTTCAAATAAATATAATATATTGACACGAAATTTCGTACAGATACTGTTTTCTATTCATGTTCTCGAACTTCATTCGATAAAACCACCTAGAGCGGCAATGACCAACACAATGCAGCTTCAGAAACAACCGCATGCCCTGATCATCTGGTCCTTGTTGATGTTGGTCATAGCGTCCACAATAGCAGCCTTTAGCGACTCTTTGGTGTTGTGAGGCTGCTTGTCGGTCTCCCTCTCGATGACGCCCCAGATATAGTGGTCCGGGGGGCTTACATCTGGAGGTCTAGGAGGCCACATGTTGGAGATGATGTGGTCATGGAGGTTGTCAGCCAGCCAATCTTAGGTCACGTGGCTCGTGTGGTATAAAGCAGAGTCCTGTTGAAAAATATGCGGCCTCCTCTGGGCCACTCCGTCTATTTAAAGTTTCACCACAGTGCCCATTGTCTCAAAGTAGGCATTCAAGTTGACACTGAGGTCTTGTTGGGAGAAGTGCAGTGGCATGACGTGACCTTTGTTGCTCACAACGGCTAAGACCATGACATATGACAGATACTTTGTCTGCATGACTATTGGGACCTCCTCGGAGCTCGCACAAAGCCACCTGTCATTCCTCCTGTTGACCTTTTGGTCTTGGTAAAAGTTGTTCTCGTCAAAGAAAAACCAAAGCACGACCGATTCCTCAGGGTGCTTGAGCTTGCATTCAACAAGCGCTTGGACCAGATGACACGGATTTCCTGGGTTTTTTGGGACACAAACTACCCTACCCTCACCACGTACGACTGGTATCCAAGGTCCTCGTGCACCACAAGCCTGATAGCAGATTCTGCCACCTCGAGCTGTTTGGCAGTGGCCTTCATTTACTTGCAGGGGTCGGCGTTCACAATGTCCTGCACCTGCTGGATAAACTCAGCCGTCCTGACAACGTCTGGCCGCTAGGAATGTTTTTTTTTTTTTTTGCTTGGTCACAGATGCAACGTCTCTATCAGAATCTAAAAGTTCTTTTCTGACCTTGAAATTGAAGGGCCTTGACATATTCAAGAAGGTGGCTATATCCAAATCACTGTGGTCGGCGGCCAAGGCAACCAGGACGGCATGCCTTTTCATTTCTTGTGCCAGACCGGAAGCTGCCATTTTGAAATTGATACACTACATGGATGCCAAAGATGCAGTCAAAGGCGAAGTCAAGCGTGACAGATGTGGTAAGAGTGTTAGAAACGTATGCTGTCAGAAATAAGTGTTGAAAATAGAAATTCCTACCTAAACTTACCAGTAAAGCCCTGCATATCCGCAGACTACCTGTGGATCATCCGCGGATGTTCACAGTTAACTGGCGGATGTGCGTAAAAATTAATCAGGTTTGGTTGATTGCGGATCGGACGCAGATGCCAGAAGCTGTGGATGAAGATCGGATGTGGATATACGTGGGTTCAGATCAACATTTTCGCCAAGGCAACCCATAAATGTGTGCGACCGCAGAGTGAATAAGTGACCGCACCATCAAATGTTTTGGTAGAGAAAACTACACTCTTTTGAAAAAAGGTGCCAATCAGAAAGAAAATTATTCTTTGCGGTTAGAAAGACCTGATTCGCACCAAAGATCGCTTTAGAGCATTCTATCTTGCAAACAAATCCTGTCCCAAGAAAAAATAAAGAATGCAGGAGCATCAATTGCCCTGGGTAAGCGTGTTTCTGTTTGGACGGGAAAGAATGGAAAATGTTCTTCGGGCAAAAAAATACCCAAAACGTACAAGCCACAAGAAAGTAAAGGATGCATATGAGTGGGTTCTTTGCCTACGAGTGGATAAATTCAATCTTCTGGAATGGTGGAACTTGCACCAACACAAGTTTCCGTATCTTGCCTTTGTAGTGCTGTTCAGGCATGCCGTCCCAGCATCAAGTGCACCAGTGGAGAGAGACTTCTCATTAGCAGACCTTGTAACTCAAGAAAAGCAAACCAGTCTGAATCCGTCCATTATTGATGGTATTCTGTTTCTTCTACACAGCAACCTTGACAAATGAAACTGGGTGTGTGCATGCATTTTTTTTTTCTCAACTGCTGGCAAAGGGTTGTTATTTGTGTGGTTCAGAGCATGCGGTTGTGGGTTTATATTTAAAACTGAAACCGATAGGAGGTGTTGCTATTATAAATATTGTGATATTTTACCAGTGGTGAGTGGCTGCCTTTCCTCTCCCACTTTCTTATTGTTAGACCTAAATAAAATGACATTACTAGTCTGTCCTTTGTTAATTTTCATGTTTAGAAAATATGAGTCTGCTTAAAGTGGGTGTTACAAAGCAAAAAAAAAATTAAAATTTCCTATTTCTTGAGCGCATCTTTAGGGCAGAGCGTTGCAGACTCCCAAGACAATCCAATAACTGCGATCATCTTTCGAGTGATGCAAAGTGTCTCTGGAAGGATGATCGCTTATAACATAAATCTAGTCATGTGCGAGTAGTGAATTTTGAGTTAGAAGCAAATTCAAAGCGAATAGTGGTTTTGACAGAATATTTTCTAATTGAATATTGAATGAAACCGAATTTTCATTCAATATCTCGAATGAAAACCCAGCTAAACTCGTAAAGTTTCTTCTCAAGCTTCTACTTGTCCATTTATAAGGTAATTTTAACCTAATTATATTTATGGACTTCAGAATGTTCGATGCCTTGGGATAGCAAATAAATGACAGATTTTACATAAAATAAAACCTATAGAGATGCAAGCTATACCTAATTGAATGGATTTACAAATCTTGCTATATGCAAATATATTATTTGTTCAATCTCGAACTTGAAAAAAAAAAAATTCAATGATGAATGCAGGTTATTGGGGCATTTCTGCCTAACAGCCACAGGTTAAATTTAAAAATTTTACAGGAATGTAAAACTCAACACTCACAAATTTTCCGTGTCTTTTTAAATACAACAAGCGTGGGCGTGAACCATCCTGCTTAGAAAATACGCTTTCCTCCCAAGCACGCGATTGCGATATTCATACTTTTCAAAGTATTGATCGCGGTGGGTTACCCCGTTGAGTGCGCTTCTTACCAAGCACCGGTGCACTGCGGAAAAAAACACCCGCGAAAATCACTTCTGCGGGTATTGCTTCTCCGCAGTGCACCCATGTTTGATAAGAAGCGCACTCACCGGGACTAACCCGTCGCGATCAACACTTCGAAAAATATGAACATCGCAGTTCATCTAGAAGCGAATATCGAATAATGTATTATCCAAAATACAGAATATTCGCACAACACTAATAAATACGATAAAACAGAACATGATGAAATGACTTGCACTGTATTTTGACTCGGAGTTTTTAGCACAAAAGCAAGCAGACAGGCTATAAGGCAGCACCCAGATGCTTTAACTTTTCATTCTCGCTTGAGTCTTATGATGTAAAATGAATGCGCAGATTGTGTGTCGGATGCGGTTCGGGTGTGGATACAAAGTCAGCGGATGCGGATTGGGTGCGGATGATCAAACTGTTATCAGCACGGGCCGGTACCTATCAGGGTAATAATTAATATCTTTACAAGGTGACAATGCCTAAACAACTACACAGTGCCCCAAAAATGTAGTTTAAACGGAGATACACTTCACCCACAGCTAAAACCAGAAAAGACTCTCTTGAGGTCCAAACTTACTTCCGTGAGGTCCGTAATTTTGTTCTCTGCCACGGAGAAGACACACAGTCCGCTTGGAAGATAAACTTGAGCCTTCTGCAGGGTTGTGATTTCATTCCTTTTCAGAAGAAGCGTCTGAAAAGCAAACCAGCAAGAGGGTGAGGATAGAAACCATAGTGACACAGACAGATGCGCTAGGCTCGCAATGCTGGTTCTCACGAGCACCAGCCTCTGCCAGCGCTCGTGGCTTGGGAGCCACGAAAATAAAGAGAAAGAAGTTGACTCTAGCCAAAGCTCTGGTTCGGACGCCTGCATTTTTCCTCCGGCGTTTATAGAACACCGCCGACAAAACCATTGCCATTTCCAGGTTACCAGGCACAAGCAGCCCGAGGTTGACAGTGTTCAAAGATGCTACACAGGAATATATTGAATTCCACTTGAAACGGAGTGCAACTCGGATCCTCTAGGCGGCTGGTGACTTCTGGAGAAATCCGCCGGGGCCGGAAATCAGTCCTCATACTTTCCAAGGCTAGCAGAGCACCAACTGAGCTAACTAGGATTCATACTTGTGTAAATCTTTGCCACCTTGCGGATCTTTCCTAAATCATTATATATCTACTCAAAGGCCATTCCAAAAGTTTTGCCTTTAGTTGTTCCTTTGCCTAAAACTTTACATGGTGCTGAAATTTCTATGCAGTCTTGGGTAGGCCCAAAAGCAAGAGCAGTCGGGTCGGGCTCATATGAAACGGTCATGCAACCACTTAGCCGTCAAATTTAATGGAGTTTGTTGACTTGGTACATCTCAAACACTGGCGGGCAGGTAAAGATGCAGGTGTTTCCTGAGGGTGGGGTCAGCATATCAGATGTCTGAGAAACCCCCCCCTCCCATCTTCCCCACCCTAAATGTTTGCACATGCGAAATTCAAGGGGTGTTCAGGACATCCCAGCCCCACCTCTAAATCCGCCACTGCTGGTGGCCATTGCGATACAGCCTTCCCTTTTTAAAAATTTAGTAACCTTTTTATCAACAATATTTTTTACAAAGTTTAAAAAAAAATTAACAAGCATGATCCATCTTTTCATTTATACTATTCTCTCTTTGAAGTAGTGGTCAATGCCCAAGATGGTCATTCCGGAATGACCCGTGACGTCATGGACTTTGTGCGCAGAATTTCAAATAAATCTCTCGCCGTCAATATCCCTTTCAAAAATATTTTTCAGATAAAATTTATTTTTTGACTTGCGTGTCCAAACTGGATTGTTGAAAAAAAAAAATCTTTTTCTTTCAGGTGCTCTTTAACGTAAGAGGAAGGAAGAAGTGGTACCTTTAATCGTGTCAGGGATGTGAGATCTATCAGAGATGGAATTAAGTTTCCAGAAAGGTCCAGGTAGACCAGGGTGGTGGAGAATTGGATGTTCTGCAAGCTCTGGATCAACAAAGTATCAGCACACCACTCGTTAGGACAGTTCTCTCTTTGTCACGACGTGCATCGATGCAGTGACTTCTGGAGTAGTTTCAACCACTCACCTTTATTCTGTTATTGGACAAATTTACAGAAACAAGGTATTTCAAATCTTTGAGCGCTGTAAGAAAAAGTGAAGCAAGAATTGTAGTAAAACTGTAAAGTTCTTCTGAACACGAAGCTGGAAAGTCAAAGTGGGAAATAAGGAAAAAAAAAACAAATTTGCAGTAAAAGTACATATCTAAGCACATAGAAAAGAGTCATTGACCTGAAACATCACAGCTCTTGTATTTCTAAAACAGAAACAAGTTTTTATAAACACCAGTAAGCAATTGTGAAACTTGCTACAACTATACGAAACAAGCTACATGTACCAAACTGTCAGATGCGCACTGTTTTTATAGCAATAAAATGCTGAAGCAAGTTGAGCGTAGTGCAATTTGGTTTATTCACTCAGAGCCTTGTCTTTACGTGCGCATAAACAGCTTTGGAACCTTCGTAATGGGAAAGATCAACATTAATAAAAATAGAAGAATTAATGCATGCATTATTAAAATATGAACAAAACATCTTGACTTCAGAAACCACACTATTCTAGGCATGAATGAAACATGTTACTGTATTGAGCAACGGTTGCCTGCAAACAATAAAACTGTCTGCAAACTAACAGGTTACAGTTTATCTGTAGTAATTAAAATAATAGCTACAAAAAGACAATATCCCTGTCATGAAATACTTTAATTAACAAAACATTTCTGCATAATCCAAGTATCTGATTGATTATCAACCGCTATTGAGTGCCATGGGGAAGTAACAAATTCCAGCTTAGGTCTGAGCAGGCAGCAATAAGACATGCATGGTAACTGGCCCCTTTTTCCACTACTCATTATGAAGTATATAAAAAGCTATGTCCAATAAAAGATGAACACCAAATTTGACAGCCAGCTATGATGTTTCCTTCCCTTTCAGGCAGCATTCTCAGATGAGGGAGTGGTCGCAATCCATGGCTTGCATTGGACGTCATGTCGGACGCCATTGCTCCGTACCATGTTCCAGCGCTTTCTGCGGCATACCTTTGGCACCATTGAATCTGTTCTTCTCCGCAAGGCTTGCAAAGAAGAACAAATTCGATTTTCCGAAATGTATGCTGCAGAAAGTACGGGCAGAGGAGCGTGGTACGGAGCAATGGCGGCTGGTATGGTGCCATATGACGTCACATGCAAGGCATGTATACCAGATTTCACCAGAGAGTAAAATAATTAAGATAAAAAGCGACCAAGGGACATGAAGTATTTGTGTTCATAACACTAAGAAGATAAATTAAACACATCAGTTTCAGGTGCTTATGCACAGGGCACAATGCTCTCAATGACAGGAAGCTATACGAAATAAAACATACCAGTGGAGCGTGAATGTCACTGTACTCATTGCAATGTCACTGCAGTATAAAAATAAATAAAAAAAGAATCTTGCACATAGCTTGTGTGCAATGCAAAATGGCATTTTTATAATATTTGGTTGTCAGAGAAAAATAAAGAAACAATCTTTCTTGCACTTGAAATGTGTTTGTTTTGATAAAATAACCAAAAAACATACAAAAATATTGTCGGAAATTTATCCGCCCGCTGAGGTGCTGCCATTATGTGTACATCCTGGCGGGTAGCTTTTCAGGAAGCTATTTTTCTGAACTCTTCAATTTACAAACTTATGGCTCTACTTTAATCGAGCAGCGGTGTTGGCTTTCCCCACCAAGCAAGCGGCTACCGGCAGCACTTTCAGTTGCTTCAAGTCACAAGACATTTTTCCCCAGATTTCACCGGGTCACCAGAGACTTAAAATGACATGAATTTTCAAGATGGTGGCGAATTTTACCATCTGGCAACACTGCTTGTAGCCATTGCCATAGTCATCCTAGTGATGACCCCCACGACCTGGTGGCAGTTACAGAAATGCATTGGCTTAAAAGAGGAGGAATCATGTTTTTTTCTAGTTTTTATGCCAGGTGGCACAAGTTACCACCCATTATAATGAATACAGCCGTTAATATCCATCCATCCAAATGTTTTTGAGTACCAATCATGCAGCGGGGGCCCAGAGGCCTATGCTATGAGCAGTTTTGAGGGGCATATGCCAACTGCCTGAAACATTAGCTTGTTGGCCAGTAACCCAAAATGGCCAGAAGTGGCTTAAACATCTCCTCCAGTCAGTCAATCTGCTGCCCAAAACTTTAGCGTGCCCATATAAAATGCCCTTAAGATTCAAAAGTGACACCTCACCTTCTATGCAGACGAGCACATTGTTCGAGAGGTCCAGGCTGGATAGCTGGGAGAGCCTTGCCAGGGAGTACATCCTCGTGATTTGGTTGTGGGTGGCAGAGAGCTGCAAAGGGTTAGGGTTGGTTTGCAGTGATGCCCTTGTTTCTCTGATGTACCCAATCTCATCACTGCAGCCTTTAGTAGTGACGGGACAACTATAGAACCAGGGCACCCGAGGTTCTTAAAGGCCGACCTACAGAATTGTCTCCTGCCGGGCAGAAAACCGGTTGCAAGTTTTCTTCTCTCCATTCTCTCACACACTATTCACTCCTCCTCCCCACGCAGGAGCCATTCCCAGAGCAACTCCCCGCAAAAAGGAGGAGGGTCTCCCTTTTTCTCGAATGGAAAGGAGGAATTAGGCAGAGTTTTTTTTCCTCTCTGTCGGCTTGTCTGTCTTTATGACCCATTCAAACATTTGCATTTGCTTAAGACTGGGTTCCTGCGACCTCTCACGACGAGAGAATGAGGTGACCCTGGAACTGCCTTTTACTAGAGCAAAGGCTTTTCAGTATGTACTACCTATGAGATATGGTCGTTTATAACAGCTTTAGAGTGTCATTAAGTACCGACCTCGCGCCCACACAGAAGCTGGAGATGATCACGACAAACTGGGAATGAGTGCTTGCTAGGTCCGAGAGCAGAAAAGCGGGTGAGGCACACGGTAGGGTAGGTCCTTATTTGGTTCGATTATAGGGGTCTAGCAGAACCTCTGATTCTTAAAGCAGCTACGCTGCTCTCGTCAAGCCTGCTTCCCACCGGCGTCGTCGCATCGAGCTCCACAGCATTGCACCGGTGCACGCACATAAAGCTTTACCACCTTGCACCAGGATTGGAGGAGCAGCCTACATGGAGGGACACCTCGGCTAGCCTAATAAGCTCAAAAGTTTGCCGAGGTGGCCGCTCGATAAGTCCTTCGTTTATACTTCAAATGTTTTAAAAGTAGGGGTGGCCGTTTATTGTGAGAGGGGCACGTGCTCGGCATTCTACGATAAATATGCTTTCACCGCCATCTTTAGCAGCGAAAAAAGTGAGCTTCAACTATACCAAATTTAAGCTTGGGAATAACCAACCTATGCAGAGAGAAAGTTGTCTGCTTCTTCTGTAGGAGTTGCGGTGACGTCGGCACGACGCCGAGCTCTGATTGGCTTTGATTGAAAGGATAGAGGGTAGACCTCCATGTTAGATGCCTTGAGGCTTACCCACTATTTTTTTTTTTCAATCAGTCAATAAGAGCTTGGCATTCTGACATCATTGCAACCCCTGTGGAAATAGCACACAAACTTGCACTCCATATACACCTTTCCAAGAAACACTCGAGCCCAGAGGCAGCAAACCGTTTTCGAGCCCAGTCACTGAGTTTGAGGATAGGCTTTCACCAGCGTCCCTGCTAACCCTAACCGAGTGAACTGTGATTTCGATAGGCGCAGCCTGCGTAGGCGCAGTTTCAAACACTGCTGGCGGCTAAATTCTCGTATTTTCTCGCTGTATTTTGTGTTTCATGTTGTATGTATTTTCCCGAGGACATTGAGAAAGCATTGTACCACATTTAAAAAAACAAAAAAGGAAAAAAAGCTGGAAACTAATTTTGTCGGGTACACCGCGACAGAACAAGTGAGACTGGAATGTTTTTTGGGTTTTTTTACAATAAGTTTTGACGTGAAAGTAAACATCTTCGACAGAAATCTGTCTGGTTTGAGGAACAATTCGAAAAAAAGAAAACTCAAGCCAAAAGTTTAGAAACAAAGAGTTCCCAACGTTTCGGGGTCGACTTGACTGCTTCTTCAGGGGTGACTAAAAATGAAACGGGACAGCGCGAGCTTCGACTTCTCCTTCCTCCTCTACCGAGGTGATGTTTTGTGAACGTGACGCAGGCCATGGACGTAAATAGATGGTAAGGCCCCGAGGGACCTGTTAATGTTCCCCAGTGTACTCTGGATATGCCACGACTCCAACAACAGGCGTCTTCGAATATATTGCTCCGTGTCTATCACGTGTGCGTTTCCGAAGTCGATCCAATGATCAAATTTCTCACAATGTTCCGCGACGGCGCTACGCTCGCGATCGAAATTGCGCACATCGTTCTGGTGCTGGCGCACGCGTTTGGGAAAAGATTTAGTTTCACCGATGTAGGCGGCGGGGCACTCCGCACACGGTATTTTATAGACCACGCCTTGTGCTTTCTCTTTTGGGAGGCGATCTTTCGGCCTTGGCATGAGCCGTCCTAATGTTGACACTGGCTTGCGCGCCACCTGGATCCCTTCTTTTCGGAGCACGCGCGCCAGTGTCTCGCTCGTCCCTTTTACATAGGGGACGCTGATGCGCGCGATGGGGCGGGGCTGTGTGTCACCCGACGATCTATGGTTATTGCACGTGCAGCCCTGTCGACGGGCGACGCGTTGAACAAAACTCCTTGAATAGCCGTTTTTTTGGAGGTCAGCAAGTATGGTCTGTTTCTCCTTTCTTCTGTTTCTTTCCGATGAGCAGATGGTCGTTGCTCTAGACAAGAGAGTAAAGACCACCGACGTCTTGTGACTCGTTGGGTGCTTCGAGTCATAATCAAGGTAGCGTCTGGTGTGTGTTGGCTTCCTGTAGACTGTGAACCCCAGCTTGTCTCCTTGCCTTTCCACCAGAGCATCGAGGAACGGCAAGACTCCATCTTTCTCGTATTCTACAATGAACTTGATGGCCGGTTCTATGGAATTCAGGTGTGCTTCACCTCTGATTTCTTCACGATGCAAAAACAGTCATCTACATAGCGCATGAACTCTTTTGGCCTGTTGGCGAAAGGGCTAAGCGCTTTCTGTTCAACCACTTCCATTGTGAGGTTTCCCGTCGTGACAGAAATAGAGGCGCTCATTGCCGTTCCGCTAACTTGTTTGAAAATGTCACCCTTGAAGCTGAAGTACGTACTACCAAGGCAGAACTCGAGAAGGCGACATAGCTCATCAACACTAAGTTTTGACGGCGTTGCTCGATTAGCCGCGTGTCAAATGACAAAGCGCTTAGCTGTCAAAAATACTTTACAACAGAAGATAGCCAAAAGGCATGCATTTTTCACGCTCACAAATAATGTGTTTACCGATGGACAGGACACGGAAATACAATTTAGCAAGTGCTAACATTCAAACAATATATTGTAAGTGCCACACGATGCAGCCTTGGCATAAAAGAATTTATTTGACAAAGATCTCAAATAACACAGTCACAGTCTATGACTGTCACATCTTGACGGTCGGACGGAATCCAAGATGACTTTGTTTTGGGGCACGTTTTGGGGAGAGCTTCCTTTTCACACCAGCACCAAGGCAAAAGAACGAATGCGACTGACCCGTTTCCCACCCCAACCCAAAACACTATTTTTGGAGATGACTGAGAAGGACTTTACGCGGATTATCTCTGCGAGGGGGGAGAACAGTTGTCATTGTTTGCAAAATCGCAGCCAGGGCCGTTCGACGTCCTTCCCCTTCTTCGTTTCTTGTGAATGTCGAGCAGAAAAGCTTGAGTGGCAGGCACTTACCAGCCCTATTTCTCACAATGGAAGATAACACAGAAAGGGTATGCAGCATGCATCATAAAAATTAAGTGGAAACTTTCAAAAGGGGCCAGAAAACGTCGAACACAAAACCGCAAAACATAGGTAGAGAATCGCGCTGAGCGGGTTTTCACAGTCCAAGAGAGTGGCAGAAAATTTCTAGCTGATAGAGGGCGCGAGAGTCGCACTTGCCGCATCAGCATCAGCAACATGGCGGCGGCCTAGGAGCGTTTTTTGGAAAGGTGTATAGGCTTCCCAGGATTCGCGCTTAGTCATGTGCCTACAGGGCCAGCAAGGACATGTTCAATGGATGGGGAAATGGTTATGTTTCTTTTGTTTACTGACCATACTAGTGAATAGACGCGATAATATAAAAACGAAAAAGGAACATAGAAGGCAATACAGACCGTACAGTCCTTCTATGTTCTTCTTTCGTTTTCGTATTCTAGTCACCATCACACTCAACCATACAGATACAATAAAATGGCAGGTCTTGGCTTGGAATAGCATCTAGTCTAGCGACGAGTGTTTTATGATCGGGATCCCACATTGAGGCAGCATCCTACGAGTCTGATCAAACCATAATCTACCTCGTGGATTCTGTGTGGCACTGTGGGAGGCACAGGCACGTGTGTGGCATTAGAAAGTGTTTCCTTTGCACAAAAGCTTGTGCAAGCAAAGCAGTTTGCAGGACTAGGCTCTAGTGCCTCTCAAGTAGTCTATGCAGTGTTTGAGATGGAGTAAAGACACGTGTAGTGCACTAGTGAATCCAACCTGCAACACAAACACGGACAAAGCCCGTCCTATTCAAAGTAACATTATTAAGAGTGAACTCACCTTTTGCAGGTCCAGAAAGCAGTCGATGTTATCGAGCTTGGTAAGTTCATTATGGTCCAGCGAGAGCTTCTCGACTCCGACCCCGTCTCTCTTCTCCAATTTCTTGAGCCCTCGATTGGAAAAATCCAAAACGTGCGGATCATCTGCAAAACAGAAACCCCGCTCAGTCGAGCGTTCGTTGACACGTCGGAGATCCCCGCAGCTGGCCTCAAATACAGTTCTCGATCGTCTGTGGTACAGAGACGCCTCACCCGAGTTTGAGCAGACGTCATTCGTAGGGCCCATGACTAGCAATCAGGCTGACAGTGATTGTCGTGTGAAGCTCGACAATTCGTGGAATGAACCTCTCGGCAATGACAGTCGCGCGGCGTACTTGTAGCTTAGAGCAACGCGTATTGACCCAGTACTACGAAAGAAACAAATGTAGCGTGATCGGCTACAATGATACGTGTTTCCGTAGTGGAAACGAGCATGACACCGCTCGCCTTTCTCACATGCGCACTGGGACGAGCCGCAGTTTTGGAACACTGATTCGGACGAGGTCCGAGCGAAAACTATAGTCTCGCGTTAACGTAGATTTTAATTGGTGCGCAGAATTTCTTCGGTTTAAGGTTGGTGTGAGGTGTCGTATTAAACCGACACTTGGTGCCGGCTGTGACGAAACATTTCGTCGCTCTCGAGCATTTTCTAGCCACGAAAACCGATCGATACAGCTCGTAGTGTGCGCTTCGGTCGTGGAAGAAAAGAGCGCCAGCGTTTGTTCGACATCGGAATTTGTTGTATCTAGCGTTTTTGCGACCGCGGACGTTTAAAAAAATTTACGGGTGCGGCACATCGCACGAAAACACGCTAACGAACGAAAAATGCCGCGGATACGTCAAAATGACATACCATTTTCCGCCATTTTGAAACTTCCGCCAAAAGCTGACCCGCAGCTTTAAAATATAATTTGTAAATGTTGATAAAATAAAAAAGTATTAGCTAAATCGTGAGAATAAACAAAACTAATAATTATAAGATTAATTATAGGTCAAGTAAATTTCAGTAGGTGATATTTGTTTCTGTGAGTGCGGTGCAGTTCTTTTCGTCCCCACAGAGAACCGACGATGAAGTGAGTCTCCGATTGTTTTAAAATCCGATAAAATTACAGTATTTTACGCTGTCATCGTTTGTTGTAAGCACGTATTTTGTTAAAATGAAGATGTTCACTTTCTTTCCAGGATCGGATTGTGTTCGTTCAGTGGCTACAAAATTTATCCCGGCCATGGGAAGCGGATGGTCAAGACAGACGGGAAGGTGAGGTTTTTGCCGGTCAAATTCTACGAAGATAGCTAGTCGTCGCTGCTGAAAGAAACGGGAACTATTGCGCTTGGTGTACGTACATCTTAAAATACTTGCGTTCCTCTTGAGCCTTAGCATCGAGGAGAGGGAAACCCGCTGGCGGAACACGTACGATCCGATCCACTCGTTCATGCTACCGATGAAACATTGACACACGCGACCTGTTCTTCGTCTCGCTCGTACGTTTACCGTATCTACAGCTACCCGAGTGTATTGTGATGCAACGTACTGCATTGTTGCAACCTTTCGCTCCAAATCATAATAAATGCTGTCGTGTCGGGTGAACGGAAGCATGCGTGTGCCTCGGCGGTATGTCGCGTCTAGAACCGCACAGCGTTCCGTCTCTTCCGGTGAACACATTAACGGAAAGGGCCAAAAAAGCAGTGTAAAGCGAGTTCTTTGTTCTTCTAAGCATGAACATCTATCTGCCTGCCCCTCTAATCTCGTGCTAAAGGGATGCTTGTGTTACGGCACGTAGTAGTGATCGATCAGCGGATAGTGACAGATTTCTGCTCTAGGAAAAGGCTCTATTGGTCCGAGACTCCGTACCCCAAATTAAGGTTCACTTCTTATCTTGTCAACAGTAATGATAACTAGGTGGCACATTTCTGCATTTTATTTTCGCGTCAGGATTCTTGTCATGACCACACTACTTTTTCTATGTGTGTGGTCACTACCCCACTGTGTATGGCCAGTTTGTACTTCGCGACTCAACTTATTACTCACGGCTTGCATGTGACGTCATTGCATCGTACCAGCTGTCATTCCTACTTCTTGCCGAAAGAGATTCGGTAGTGCAAAATATATGCTGCAAAAGGTTCGCGCACAGCAGCAAGGTTGTTCACAGTGCCTGCTGACGCGACGTCAATGCGAGCCGCTCGTTTTTAAGCCTGGCTCCTCATTAACGTGGTGCAATGCACATTACAGACCTTCCACTTCCTGAATGCCAAGTGCGAGGCATCTCACATGATGAAGCGCAACCCACGCAAGGTGACGTGGACGGTGCTGTACCGCCGCAAGCACAAGAAGGGCCTGGAGGAGGAGACAGCCAAGCGGCGCACCAAGCGCACGGCCAAGTTCCAGAGGGCCATCGTGGGCGCCAGCCTCAACGACATCATGGCGAGGAGGAACATGAAGCCCGAGGTGCGCAAGGCACAGCGGGAGCAGGCCATCCGGTGAGTCTCCCTTTTCGGAGAGGGAACGGTCTGCATGATAACACTACGCTCGGCGTCACTTTCTTTGTGCCACAAGACTAGGGCAGTTTCTGCACTGCTGCAACTACGTACTGCTGGGAGAGTTTAGTCTTGTGTCTCATTCGCACTCACTTGTGTGCATAGGATGTGCAGGACAGCTACGTGCTCATGCAAGAAGCTTTGACAGCACCCAAGCACTGTGGACCCAGCGTTTGTTTCGGCAGTGTGGCACGAAGGAGCTCACACTTAGTATAGACTCCGAGCAAGTGTTCATTGCAGTCTTTCATGTTTCTATTCATGAAAGTAGAATAAGCTTCCACATCAATTGGAGGAGCTTTAAGGAATCTGAGATTGAGCTAGAGTGAAGAAAGTTAAGCTTTGACGCTTACTGCATGTGCTGCCACCTGTGGAAGATGCTGCTCTGCGGTATTGCGTTGCATTGCATTGTCCAAGGGCCATAGCAAAACTCGTGTAGCCACCTCGATACTTTATGCATATAGCCACAACAAAATCGCAGCAGTGAATGCAGGGATGCTTTTTCACTCTGGATCTTGCCAGCTCTGCTCAAAGGTTTAACCAAACCAAGTGCCCGATATTGTCATGGATGGAATGAGCTGATGAGTGTAAAACAGAAAATAGTTTCAATAAGGTGAACTTGTGCCCGCAAAATAAAACTGAAGGTTTCAAGCATCTCGCTTCAGCAACGGAAGGGTGACCGACTGGAAGCAGCTCGTTAGCACTGTTTCAATGCATGTGGTACATTCAGGAATATTTTGAACAAGGGCACTCCATGACAACCTAAGATGGGCTGGATCTTTCCAGAAGCGTAGAAATGAAGAAAATAAAAATCGGGCCGATGGGTCTTTGAATTCAGTTCCTTGCGCTGGTGTTGCCAACTCCGCCACGCACGCGGCAATATTACTTCAGTTTGGCCTAGCCAAAGTCTCGCATCAAAAAGATGCCATAATGAGTACTACAACTTTTGTCGAAAATGCTGTCACGAGATTCTCAGCAGGCCGCCAGCGGGTTAGCTGTTGGAGAAGCAACTTTAGGCAACAAATTGTCCTACGACATAAAGTTATCCTAGGAAATCGCTCGCAAGGGCACGAATCTTTGCGTTTTAGCAACTCTGCTCGCTGGTGCTTGTTCCGAGGAAGCGGTTTCAATCCCTGCGGATGTCGAGTAAAGTCTCGGGAACATCCGGCGACTATAGACCTTCACCAGATGAGAACGGTGGGGAGGTTTTTCGGGTGTCCCGCCTCCGGCGCGAGTTTCCTACTTTCAACAAGACTCCGGTGTCTCGCCGGCTTCAAGCGTGCACGCATAGCCAAAGCACAGCGGAAGGCGTCCAAGTAAGGTGGCTTTCCATTTTCATCCAGTCGGCAACTACTGGGGTTGGCCGTGCAGCAGGGTTGCAGCACTGCTTCTGGTTTTGCTTTTCTGCATTTGTGGCTTCTGCCGTTCCTCGCCCTCAATACTCATTCCGAAAATGGCTCCACATTTGCTGTACAAAGAAACCATTTGCGAGTTGTGCCGTACGTGCATGCCAGAAGTAGCTATGAGCCGAGTAGCAGGGGTAATGCATGAGCTTGTTTCATTCGCAAGAGGCAATAAATACCTGGGTGATTGGGGATGCGCCGCGACAGAAGTAATTTTTCTCTTGCTACAGACAAACCATCCACATGGAAGCATCGATAAAACTCTGCATCAGACATTGCCATTTATGCCCGGCAGTGTCGGAACAGTCAGTTTTCATATCGTACAGTAATTTGGATATGTGAAGATGCCTGCAGTACCATGCACATCTGGAAAAAGCATCCACACTTTTTGTTTACCGTGCACTGTGCAAGTGGAAACTACTGCTCTTTTTTCTAATCGTTTATCTTGATGACTAGCACCACTACCTTACCTTTAATCCTTTAATAAGTGCCGTCACCCTCTCAGTTATGAGATCACGATGTGTCGCATGCGTTGTTCTTACCTTTCCTGCTTTTGCAAAACGTCTAAATAAGCTCCATTGTATTACAGAGCAGCCAAGGAAAAGCAGAGGGCACAGAAGGCCCAGAAGAAGACCACCGCAACTCCGGTGAGTGAAAGGGCCGGGCCCGAGTCACTTGCTACCGTCAGAGTGTTTACGTAAACTTCTTGCAATCACCAATTTACGCAGTATCTGCAGTCTTCTGTGTTGCACTGAGCGGCTCGAAACAACTTGTAGCCTGTGCATCACCAACCAGACTATCTTTTTTTATCTTTTTAGCTGACGAAGGTGGCTCAGAAGCAGAAGGCCAGCAAACCGATCCAGATGAAGGCCCCCCGAGTCGGAGGCAAGCGCTGAGAGCAAGAAGTGGGTCGTTATTAAAATGCTGTGTCTATTCATGGAAGGGAGTTCCTTTTGTGCCGACTGCACTGACCTGTCTCGACTCTTCACCGTGGCATAGATATTCCACGAGTGCCATAAAAGGCCTTATGGATTTTTAGTTCCGCCTATCGGCACATTGTCGAATGTGCCGGGCTGCCAGCCTCAAAGATGGCGGCTTCGGCTTCGTTTGAACCCAACTCTGGACGAGTATTTTCAAAATCGCAATAACCTTTGGTTTTAATAGAAAAAAAAAAATTTCTCACACGCTGACATTTGACAAGGTATGTTCTTTTACTTCCAAACTATCAAAAAGTATTGTTAAAAAAAAAGCTAAAAAGATATGTTTCACAAATTTCGGAGTTCCCATTATACCAACGCGCAGCTTCATAATTTCACAGTACAAGGCGCTAGTGTTCGGCAGGGTGAGAACTGGCAAGCCTGGCAACTTAAAAAAACATTTCGTATAAAAATAAAAAAAAAAGCCTTGAGACTGAATTCTTTTAAGAGATTTGTGCAGGTCAGTGAATTTGAGAATCCGAATGAGAGTGGTGCATCAGAGACGCACAGATTAACGAATTTTTTTCAGTAGATGTGTCGCTGCGATCTAGACTCGTCTCATTCCAAGTGGCCTCTTATTTTGCTCAAAACAAGGACTGCACGCCACCACCTTTGGGTTAGGTAGAATCACTTTTCCAATATGTCTGATAGATGGCGCCACAAATATGAATAAGGTCTATTCAGTGACGGGGAGGAAACTTCCTATTGGAATAGAAATGCATGGCACTGAAAAGTTGATCTGGCAGCATTGCACCCATTGGAAGGCATGTAGCTGATAAAAACTGTGCATATAGTGTTTACTGAATCTCAAAGATCTGAGTGTCCATCTCAATCCCTTTCTTTATTCCTCCATGTATAAATCTGCTTTTTATTTCCTGTACAGATAATGTGATTGTCACATGTGTTATGACGGGGACACCTGAACAAAACAAATCGTATTGGGGCATAGATTCTTGGATACCCCGCGAATTAACCCCCACTTAAAGAGCCCAAATATATGTTTGCGAAACATGCATTACAATTTTCCCTTGGCAAATTTCAATGCATAGCTTTGTTTCTGTAAAAGATTACAACAAAAGTCTTAGAAAATTGGGATGCTGCACATAGCCACGTAGCTGGGCTGGTCGTTAAGTTTGTTGCTGCTGTGTAGAGGTAGCACCACAAGTTGCACGTGGCATATAAGCAATGCAGCTGCTCGAGCTTTTGTAGATGCATTTATGGCTAGGAAGTCTACAGGGTGTCCCAAAAAACCTTGAGCCAGTTTTTTCCTTACAACACTGCATTGCCCTGATTACTCTGGCATCATTTCAATAGCTGAATACTTCAAAGGAAAAGGCTAGAACTCTTTGTGACTGTGCAGGATTTTTAAACTTGCTTGGAGTTAATGCAGATAATTAGCAAGTGGGAATAAATGTTTTTCTAGCAATTGGCAAGCTATATGCCTTGCATTTTTAATGCTATGTTATTTTGTTTGTAATGCTGTGTTTACACTACGGACACGATGTACCGATGTTTCATGACACGTAAACGGAACGTTTTCGTTCACTACAAGCAATCGTGGTCTGAGCGAACTCATTGCGCTTAGGTTTGCGTTTGTTGCAAAATATCGGTGCTTTGTGTCTGTAGTGTGAACATGGCATAACTGCAAGCAGCATCTAAATCCAGGCTTCCTTCTTCAGCTTGGCCAGGGCAGCTAGATGCATGTCCCTCCATTTGCGCCACTTGGGAAGGTCCTCGACTGGGATCTTCTCCAACAGCTCCTTGTTCACCTTGTCTAGGGTGGCACCATCGTAGCTGGGGACAGGGCCAAACGACTGGGTCACCCTGACATATCCCTTGGCATATTTCTGGCACTGCTCAAGCATTCCTGAAAAGATAGGACGGGCTGTTGAAGCGCTGACCACCCAAAAAGTGTGGAAACCTCAGCTGCAACTCGTCTTGAGTGGGCCGCTCAAAGACCAACTTTCAATGGGCTTGCCGAAAGGTCCAAGGCTGTTGGTTTATACAAGTTGCCAATTTTTGGACTTTATTACGAGCTTTTCCACTTGCCTTCAGCATTCAGATGAGCAGTTTCCAAAGGTCCCAAGAATGCATAGCGCATTCCAAGTCCATCTGACATGACTCTGTCCATATCCTGGGTGTCCATGACTCCGTCCTAGAAGGACAGTGTTAGATGATGCAAGCGGTGAAGCGATTGCTGCGCCACTTGCGCAAAAATGCTTAACCTGCTACATGCAGCTACATTTCGTCGAAATTGGAGTAATTGGTGCCAAAACATGATTTCACTTTATGAATGCTGAAAATAGGAGCTGAGGCCTCGTTATGCGGCCGGTTTGTTTGTTAGGCTTGTGCAAATTTACAGAATTTTCAATTATCGCCCTACTCAATTTGGTCTCTCTATCAAACATTGCCAGTGCTTGGAAGTTGCACAATATTTCATGTTTGTGGTCTGTTCCGGTGGGTTAGGTAGCTTCGTTGAGTGTGCTTCTCACCGCGCACTGGTGCACTGCAGTGAAGCGAGAACCGCAGAGTAGGCATCGCGATTTTTTTGTATCTTGCAGAGCGAGGCTTTGCAAACGAGGAGTCCTAAGTGCTGATGCCTCAACTCTACCTTGCAGAAAAAAAAATGTTTTTCAGAAAAACTGGTTAGTATATTATGGACTGATATTCTGATTATTTTTATCAAACTTGAGATTGCAAGGATACTTGTGTATTTCTAGCAAATTTATATTTATTTCTCTATAAGCTTATTTATATTTATATTGATTGCTCTAACCTCTTGTTTAGTTAGTACCTTTACTTAGGTTCTATCTGCATGGCGGCAAATTGAATGGAGTAAATTAAAACTGAATTAGCTAGAGGAGTGAATGGAAACGTGGGAATTAATGAGTTCAACTGGATTGCTTCTAAGGCTTATTGTTCACATATCGATTTTGGTTATCCAGTAAGACCTAGATAAAAATTGTCATTTATATTCAAATGACAAAAGCTTTTTTTAATAGCACTTTTATTAACCTTTAGGACTTAATGAAACATTAATTTGGGTGCTCAATATTTTGTTGTAACATGATTTCCGTGGAATATACCATTTGGTTTACCTTTGGCTCTATACGTAAAATAACTTCACAGCGGTTCATACTGTCCCTGATCAATAAGCACATTGTTGTCGTGCCTGGTACTTCTACACGCAACACCTTTTTATATGTGTTTGGGAGAGCCAAACGTGCCGTGCAATGGATGCTAACAAAAGGTTTCACAGACGTGAAAAGGCAAAGGAGACAATGAATTTTGATGTTATGATGTCAATGCAATTAATGCAAAGGTGCCACGAGCTGGACAGGGGGGACAACGGACAAACACAATCTCCAAACACGGCTGGGTGACACAGAAGCCATCGCTCGCGCTGACAAGCGCCGTCCGTCGCTCAACCATATTCAGCAACATAGAGTTATTCTAATAAACGCTAGAGGCTCAGCTGGCGCTAGTGTCTATGGGACTTCCGGTTGCAAATTGAAGCAGACAGCATGCAGTCTACTTTTACAGTCTTCCTTTGTATTCCTATGGGAAAACGCGCGTGAATTTTGTCTCGTCGCCGCAAAATAACATGAATAACGCTTGTTATTTCGGTTGTACCGGATAGTATGCACCTTTATTACTATTGTGAAAGTGTAATTGCTTTAGTTACAGCATTTTTCTTTTACCACTGAACGATGTTAAACTTCGCTATATTCCAGGCCCAAACCTCTGTTCCATGGCAGGTATGTAGAAACGACCGACGATTCTAGGGAAAATAACGATCGAAAGGAATGTAGAGTGTGTTAAAAGTCCGCCAGCATTCCGTTGGTGCTTATATATTGCTAATATGCCTGTCCTCTCACTATAAGAAAATGACCCCGTCGTGCATCTTTACGAGTGGCTGAAAAAACGTTCGAAACGTAAAGAATAAAGTACGTGGGCTACGAAAGGTGTGTTTTCTTTATATTTCCTATGTCGGGCAGTTTTTATCGCGCACCTGTTCTCTGGCTTCCCCCTATTTGCAAAGATTTGGAGCGCGCGGGTGATGATTTGAACACAGAACAAGCATCTTCGCACTTATTCATGGGCAGAAACAATAAAGCAGTACTTGTTTATTACAAATTGGACTATATTACGTGACTTTCAATTTATTTTAATCGTCTGCAAGCACAAGGAGTTACTTGTCCAGTTACTGCGTAGTTCTTGTCGTCTCTCTTGGTTTGAATTTCCACATGTCCTTCGTTCGTTTGGCACGTATATCCCCCATGCTGGAAAGCGCCGACGCCGTGTTCGCGCTAACAGTGTCCGGCAGTGCACATAAATACATGTACCAAACAGTTTTAGCACCGTTTTTCATGCCACAATTTTAAAATAAAAACGCCGTAACTGACCAATTATTTCATCTGCGTGTCTGGGAAATGTTCCAATGTGCCTAGTAGGTACCAATTGTCCGTGATATTTGCTCTTATAATCGAGCGCAGAGAGGAAATGCACTCGCTTTTTTCCATAGAAATACATTACCGGAAGTCAATTTCGGACTGCTTGCTGTCTGCTTCAATTTGCAACAGCACACTAGCGCCAGTTGAACCTCTAGCGTACAATATAATAACTCTATGTTCAGCAAGGTTCAGTAGCGCCATCTGTTGTTCTGCGCCAATGGTGAGTGATGGGATCTTTTATCACTTTTAATAACCAAATCGGCCGCGCACAAATCTAATTTCTTTTTTTTTTATGATGATTACAGCTTGCAGATACAATAAAACGAGTACTTTAGTGCCCCTTTAACTTATTTTTTTAGTGGTAGGAATGAAAATGGAGTGTGAACTTATGCTCCAAAAGTTCCTTTTGCTACTTCAATATAGACTTTTAGCTGCTAAAGAAGGTGCTCCAAAATGACTCGGACCAATCACATTACTATGCAAGTCATATTTCGAAGTGTCTTTTTATGACACTGTCATGAACTGCTTTGCTGTGGCACAAGCAATTTCTTTATCATATTTAATGGTCCCCAATGCCAGAGGTAAAACTATTACACAAGTTCTGCACTGGCTGAATTGGTCATTGCCTTGGCAACCAATTGTATGCAGCGTGTTTATTTTAAGACCAACGTCCCCTGGTTGAGGCACAGTTACCTGAATGAGCCTCCAGCATTCATTGAGTATAGTGTACTGAATCCTGTTGAGCACAAAGCCATCCACTTCTTTCTTTAGGACAACTGGCTTCTGGCCAATTTCTTTCATGAGAGCACGAGTTCGAATAACAACCAGGGGGTCTGTCCAGGGGGCTGGGACGACTTCCACAAGTGGGACGTAGTATGGTGGATTGACCTGGAAAATCAAGCATATTTTTCTTACCACTAGACACAGCGGTGCTTCATTGACGGTACACTTACAGGGTGACCCACAATGGCTTGACTTCTATGTTTAAGATCCCTGGTAAAGCTCGAAGGTGGAAAGCAGCTCGTGGAGCTGCAAAGAACCACTTTGTCGTCTGCAAGCTTGTCCATCTCGAGGAACACTTTTTGTTTGAGCTCCAAGTTCTCAAAGACGCATTCCTGGAAAGGTTGGAGCGCAAATATAGTAAGGGTGCAGACGAGTTGCTGAATATGAACCATGTTGTATTAACCTGATACTGGGGAAGACGAGAAACATCAAAACGTAGAAGGAATAGACTCAGGTTAATTCAACAAGGTTAGAGTGTTTACAGAAAAGCATTTTTTTTTTTGTTTATTCATGTACCTGCACGTGGAGGGCCCCCTCGATACAGTCTGCCATTGAAGCACTCCTTTGAACAAGTTGATACTGCTGTTTGGCAGTAAGGTTGCCTCGCAGAGCCCCACTTTTTTCTAGTGTTTCGACCTGATCCTCGATGTCCTTCAGGGCCTCATCGATTTTGCGTGGCTCCACGTCATAGAGTGCAACCTTGTAGCCCAAGCTGGCAAAAAGCATCGCCCAACTTCGGCCAATGAGGCCGCTGGAAACAAAGCAGTTTTTGGTGTGGAGTTGCCAGTACCGAATGGTGTGGCGACCATTTTCTACCAAAAACCAGTTTCGTCGAATGACCATTTAAGCTGGTCAGGAAAAAACAGGACCATTTAAGCAAATGATCCTGTTTTTACTTAAACTAATTTGAGAGGCCCTAGCATATGACTACAAACGAGTGCATGTGTGATGCGCCCAATCGCTAATCCCACCATGCCAGATTTCTTTTTCCCCCTCGAGGTTTTTTGACAGGTCAAGAACCTAGGGCGAGGAAAAGGAAAGCTGGGGAAGAGGAAGCAGGTGGAATGCTGTAGAGAGGGGGATGTGTCCTCCCCTCCCCTCTCTAGCATTCCATCTGCTTCCTCCCTCCCCAGCCTTTCCCCTCAGTACAGGTCTGAAGCGCTAACTTCGGCGGTAAAATTTGGTATCCGGTACTACCCCATTAAAGCAACAGGCGAAAAAGTGCCCATGCCCTGTTCGTGCATAGCAAACAAACACCGTTCGCGAAAAGCTCGTTCGACGAAACGTCGATGACGGTAGAGGTCACAACCCCGGCGGCAACCCCGATATCCTTACGCAAACTCGCTAAAAATAACTTCAAGGGCGTAGTGCCGATCACGACTGAAGCGATTGCAGTTTTTGCTTCAAAAAACCTAATTGTTTCTTTTTTTTTCTTTTTTTTTTTTTTTTTCGGGGAGCACGTTTTAATTAAACAGTTAAAACAGGAGGGGGGAAAAAACGAGTTAAGCTTTACCGGGCACTAAACGGGCCACGGCAGGCCACGGCGCGTGCTTCCACCTCTGCCAACATAATTTTCCTTTCGTTTTTGATTGGATTTTCGAACCGATCGACGTATTGCGATGTATAACGTAGCGTTGAATGTAGCTAACCTACGTAACAGCCGCGGTTGAAACACTTTTGCCAGCCAGAGCCGGGAACGAAAAACCAAGAAAAGACAGCTGTGCGCTCACCTGCCTATGATGCCGACTTTTCCCTTCTCCATATTTGCGGACCTCCGAAACGTTTTCACTGCCCCGGCGGCTGCTCGTGATCGGCTGAACCGACTGTACGCGAGCGTAGCGGTGGGCAGTAGGCAGCTGCGGGAGTTCTAACTGCGAGGGATGGCGCTGTTCCAGACGAAGAAAGAAAACGCTACTGGAAGTCAGACTTCTCTTTTACAGCAACCGACTGACTCTTTCCCTTCGGGCCCTTTCCTTCGGGGTATTGTTTCTTGCCGCTGAGCTTTCACCAAGAAGATAACGTTCGGTCGTAGAAATGCGATAAGGGCGGCAGACCCTATTTTTGATGTGCGGCAAAGCTACATGAATTCAGCAATCAAATCATCTCAAAGTTTAAAAATAAGACAGACGCTCCTACAAGGTGTGCTGCTTTCACCAGTGCAATCAACGCAAAAATTGTGTGCTGCAGGTTTCACTTTTAGTGATTTCCCTACAGACCATTGTCTGAAGGCACCCCCTTAACTCGCAAACACTCCTCTATTCACAAAGCCCCCTTCCTTAAAAATTTTAATCCCCCCCCCCCCCTAATTTAAATTCCTCGGGAAGCACCTGTTCACTTGTACTCTGTAACCATTCAGTACGACTGGTATTTAGAAAAACTTAAAAACGTTTACAATCCCCTGTAACACCGATTAGAGCGCAAGTCTTGAGGAGGAGGAGGGGAAGGTACGGAGAGGACGGTATAGCCCTCCTCCTCATCCGCACCCTCCCCTCCGGCTCGCCTCTTATTTAGGGGATTCCCCTTAAATTTAGGGGGGATAAATTTTTCTGCTAAATTCAGCGGGGAAATTTACCCATAATGCAACGCGCGGTTACGTCACGAGTGATGTCATCTATGACGTCACTCGTGACGTCACGTGTGACATCATCTATGACGTCACTGGTGGCCCTCGTGACGTCATACGTGACGTCATCATGAAAGACGTCCCATAATGCATCGCGCGGTTACGCCGATGGCGACGCCGCTCAAGCCGGAAACAAGCGTCTAAGAGCTGCGCTCTAAAAAAAAAAAGTGAATATAAGGCATAATGAGTATACTTTCAGAGAGGTTAAACAAATCCAAAGCAAGAGAAAAATAAAGGTAATGAAAAATACACAGCAAAGGCCATTGACTCTCGCTAACCGATGATCCGAAATAGTTAAAGCACTCTAGATTTTTTTTTTTTTTTTTTCCGTGTAGTTTTTTGCTTTTGTGGGATCGGTCTGGGCGTTCGTGACCTGTTCGCCTTCCCATGTCGGGTTAGCCGTTTCCTGGTCCGGGGATTCGTAAGGATGTCCTCCAAGAACAATTCCCTCATGTGGGCATCATGGGAAGTCTGGTTATCCGTCCTTTGCGGTCTTCCGCACGTCTGCTAGCTTATTGATTCCTGCGATCTCTTCGAGCTCCGTCAGTCTGGTACGTGGCTTTGGGTAGTCCTGAGATGAGCCTTCTTGCGTCGTTGTTTAATGCTTCCAGTCCTTGCTTCTGTTTCTTGGTTAGTCTCAGGCACAGTTCCATCCGTACATGGCCCTGGAGACTATGTAAGGGAGGGTGTGCAGCAGCATGTGTTCGTGTATTCCCCATGTTCTGCTGGTGACCATTCGGATGGTTCCGATGGTGTGCTTCCAGGAGTGCCTGATTTTCTTTTACCAGGTTGTCGACTTCTCGTCTTCCCGGAAAGTGACTCCAAGAATTTTGACCTCTTTTGTTCTTTGGATAATCTGGCCGTTGTTGTTTAGTGAGTGAGATGTCGATTCCTTTTTGTCTCGCCTTGGTTGCAGCAATCGTTATGTAGTTCGTTTTCTCCGCTCGTGGGACATCCTGAAGACGTCCTTCGGCGTTTCACTTGGAAGGTTTTCGGATTCTTAATCAGACGTCCGTGGGACATCTCTAAAATCCCAGTATGGCCATCCTTAGGATGTCCGCCGGGTGTGTGAGCGTTGTCTGCTTTTATGGCTAGAAAGTCTACAGGGTGTCCCATGAAATCCTAAGCAAATTTTTTCTCCCAACACTGCATTGCATAGATTATTCTGACCTGCATTTCAATAGCTCTAAATCCTTCAAAGGAGAAGAGTAACTTTTGATCATGGGGGATTTTTACATCTATTTGGAGTAAATACACGTGATTAGCAAGTGGAACTCTATTTTTTTTATCGATTAGCTAGATCCATACCTGCATCATTTGTGTTATGTTTATTTGAAAAAATACATAAATTGGCAGCATCAGATGACTCAATATCTGAAAAGTAATTGTAAGCTGCATATACATCTAGGCATCTCTCTTCAGCTTGGCCAGGGCAGCCAGCCGCATGTCCCTCCATTTGCGCCACTTGGGAAGATCCTTGACTGGGATCTTCTCCTCCAGCTCTTTGTTCACCTTGGCGAGGGTGGGACCATCGTAGCTGGGGACAGGGCCAAAGGACTGGGACACCTTGACGATTCCCTTGGCATACTTCTGGCAGTACTCGAGCATTCCTGAAATGATCGATTCAACCGATAAGGAAGGGCTGTTGAAGCACTGAACACCTAACAAGTGCAGAAACCTGAGCTGCAACATTATCTTCAGTGGGTCGCTGAAATTTAATGGGCTTGCCAGAAGTCCAAAAGTGCTGGTTGTTTACAAGTTGCTATTTGGGGCTTTATAAAGAGCTTTTCCACTTGCCTTCCGCATTCAGATGAGCGGTTTCCAAGGGTCCCAAGAATGCATAGCGCATCCCAAGTCCGTCCGACATGACCGTGTCCATATCCTGGGTATCCACGACTCCGTCCTAGGACACAGTGTTAGGCAAGTCATCTTTTAATTTAAGTGCCTCTTTTATGACATGTGCTGTAATGAAATGCTTTGCTGTGGCACAAGCATATCTTGATCGTATTTAAAGGTGCTTAATGCCTAAAAGTAAATGTTGATTACGAGTTCTGTGCTGGTTGAATTGACATATCAACCAACTGTATTCAGCATGATTATGTTAAAACCCTTTGCTTACCTGAATGAGCCTCCAGCATTCATTGAGTATAGCGTATTGAATCCTGTTGAGCACAAAGCCATCCACTTCTTTCTTAAGGACAACTGGCTTCTGGCCAATTTCCTTCATGAGAGCACGGGTTCGGATAGCAACCAGGGGATCTGTCCAGGGGGCTGGAACGACTTCCACAAGTGGGACGTAGTATGGTGGATTGACCTGGAAAACCGAGCATCTTTTTCTTACTATCCTTAGACGCCGCAGCAGGGCTTTATGGATGGCACACTTACAGGGTGACCCACAATGGCTTGACTCCTATGTTTAAGATCCTTGGTAAAACTTGAAGGTGGAAAGCAGCTCGTGGAGCTGCACAGAACCACTTTGTCGTCTGCAAGCTTGTCCATCTCGAGGAACACTTTTTGTTTGAGCTCCAAGTTCTCAAAGACGCATTCCTGGAAAGGTTAGAGTTTTCTAGAAAATTGGGTAATTTCTTACGGTTTATCCACGTACCTGGACGTGGATGGCCCCCTTAATACAGTCCGCCATTGAAGCACTTTTCTGGACGAGTTGATGCTGCTGTTTTGCAGTGAGATTGCCTCTCAGAGACCCATTTTTTTCTAATGTCTGTAGTTGATCCTCGATATCCTTCAGGGCCTCGTCGACTTTCCGTGGCTCCACGTCAAAGAGTGCAACCTTGTAGCCCACGCTGGCAAAAAGCATCGCCCAACTTCGGCCAATGAGGCCGCTGGAAACAAAGCAGTTTTGAGTGTGGAGTTGCCAGTACTACACAGTAACGAAAGAAATGCATGAAAGGGACGATACAGACGACATTCCTTTCGTGTCGTCTGTGTCGTCCCTTTTATGTATTTATTTCGTTACTGTGTGGTTTCCTATGAACGCGCTCAACTCGCCAAATTGCCATTACAGAGTCCGTTTTCTAGCAAATAGCTGTGTATTCGCCGAATGGCCATTTCAGCTGACTTTTTTTTTAGTGAATGATCCTGCTTTTTCTCGAACTAACTCGAAAGCCTCTAGCATATACGATTATAACCGACTGCATGCAGTTGTACATTCGCTAATCTCACCATGCCAATAACCTTTTTTTTTTTTTTTTAAGGTGTTTGGCTATTAATGTTTTACTTAACTAAAATGCATGCATCTAGTGTGAGAGTGCAGGACTGAGGCGCCAACTTCGGTGGTAAAATTTGGTAATAGAGGAGTTGTTGCGAATTAAGAGGGTACTTTCAGAAAAACATGGGGGAGGGGGGAGGGTGGAATCACTGGTCGGGGTCTACCCCAGGATATCCAAACATTCTTACTCGGATATCGTGAGGATATCTTTGCGTTGTCAACGCTGAGAAAATTGGCAAGCTTTTTGTGCCTCCATATCGTATGAACGCGTCTTCATACGGCTGCAGTCTCGCCCTGCATTTGAATCCCGCCCTGTTTTTAACCGTGTTTCCCCGAGTTCCATGTTTAGTTTAGATTCCCTTTAAGGTTCGTGTATAACGAGCGGGTTAACTACGAAACGATCGGAATGTTAAATAAAAGGTTGTGAATGCCAACATTGGCTTCTTGGTGTTTTTTTAACCGGTGCGAACGAACGAGAGTTGGAGCGCAGTTGTACGAGACACAGGCATTTTCCAATCAACCCTAAACTTTACGACACGACATTCTGCTCCTTTGTCAATATAAAACACATGAAATAAATCATGAAAAGCACGGTGCCGCATTCTGTAATGTTGGGCACAACAAAGCAAACGTTACGTGCGGCCTGATAGCTAATGTAAGAAAGTTTTTTTCTTCTTTACGGGCTTGTTTCCCCAGGATCGTGTCCGTCCTCAAATGACCTGATGACAAAGGACTTTGGACAGCTACCGCCATCTATAAGCAACAGCGGCAACCAGACAACCGGCTCGCCGGTTGTCTGGTTGCAGGCGTCGCTCAGATAGCGGCAACCTTTCGAGGCTTTCCAATCTGGCTTGCCGACTTGCGGCCGGCCATTACTCCATAACCACTATAGTACAGCTTCGCTGGTCTTCCTTCATTAGAATAAAAAGGCTGAAAGACTTTTTTTTTTTTTTTTCGTTTTTCTACAGGTTATTAAAAATGCAGTCCACTGCATATTTTTTGAAAATGCGGGTTGAACCGCGACGCCGCCTGCGAACAAAATATTTGTTTAACCGCCACTTTCGATCGCTTTCCAGTCCGAACGCCGAAGCTCCGAAGTTCGAGATATCAAAATGAGGAGAAACAATAATTCTGACATCACGAACGTCAAAATAAATTCTGTAAATGGACGTCCAGGTACGTAGTCACTACGGTCACTAACAAAATAAAAACGAAATGAGAAGATGGAGGAAAAAGGGGGGGGGGGGGGGGGGGGGGGAGCTACGTAGGTGGTCACGTGATCCCTGTTGTCACGTGACTGCGCCCTTACGACTGTAGAGTAACTGTTTATGCTACGCTTGCGTCGTTTAGCGTTCTCTTCTGCCTGTGCATCGAAAGTGGCCCCGAAGTGGCAACAAATGACGTCACAAAAGCTGTCGGATGTCGCGATCCTGGCGGTTGGGTGCAAAAATGCTGGCGAAAAGCACGAGCGAACGTGAGTGTCGCTGTCGTCGCGGCGTCCCAACTCCTGGGTTGCTATAACTTCCGTGGACTATCAAGCTGGAGAGCAATGCTGCAGAGCGACCTGCAGCAGAACAGGCGTCTGCCACATACACCACCGCTGCTGTGACGCCGCCAGGATCGCGGTCAGCGACAGCATGACACGTCTATGACGTCATCAGCTAGAAACCGAGGGACCACATATTTGGCCACGGTAAATACAGTAAACACACTAGTCGCAGACGCGTTCCAAGCACAATATGCATAGTAAACAAACATCGTGAGCGGAGCAAAGCATCGTAGAACGAAAAATACGGCGAATCAACCGATGAACTCCTCCTGGTAGAGGTCGCGACCCCGGCGGCCACCCTGATATCATTACGCAAACCAGCGCTGCGCAAACTCGCTAAAAATAACTCCAATGGCGTGGTGCCTATCTCGGCTGAAGCGATTGCAGTTTTTGCTTCGAAAAGCCCAATTGTCTCTTTTTTATCGGAGAGCACACTTCAGTTGCTTCAATTGAACAGATGAAACACGAAAAAAAATTAGGTCGAGGATGCAATAACATTGTTTGAAAGAGCTCAACCAAGCACTAAACAGGTTACAGCGCGACTGCGCGTGCTTTAACCTCTGCGAACATCCTTTTTCTTTTTTGCTTTTCGATCGAATTTTCGAGCAGATCGACGCACGTGACGGAGGGCGTAGCTAGCATAGCCGACATCGCTTTTCACTTCTGGAAGCACACAGCGGTTGAAACATTCGTGCCAGCCAGAGCCAAAGGAAATACCAAGTAAAGACAGCTGTGCGCTCACCTGCCTATGATGCCTACTTTTCCCTTCTCCATATTTGCGGACGTTCTTCACTGCACCGGCGGCTGCTCGTGATCGACTGCACGCAAGCGTAGCGCTGGGCGGTACTCAGCGGCGGGGGATGGCGCCGTTCCAGACGGAGAAAGAAAATGCGACTGGAAGTCAGGCCTCTCTTTTACAGCAACCGACACTCTTTCCCTTCGGGCCCTTTCCTTCGGGGTATCGCTTCTTGCCGCTGAGCTTCCACCAAGAAGTTATCGTTCGGTCGGAGAAATGCGATAGGGATGCGACAGGCCCCAATTTTAATGTGCGGCAAAGCTGTGTTCCTTTTACGGTAAACCGAATCAAATAAAAAATAAGAAAAAGCTGTGCTGCTTGCACCTGTTATCAACACAAAAATTGTGCTGCAGGTTTTACTTCTACTCTGTAACCATTGAGCAGCAGTACTCGTCCTTTTCGGCTTGCTGGCATTAAAAAGAAAAAAAGAGAGAACGAAGTTGTAGCGAGTACACCTGCAGGAATATGGAACAAATCAAAAGTAAGGGCAGTGAAAAATGCATTGCTCAGGCCACTGACCCTGGCTAACCAATGTTCCAACATAATTAAATTAACCCTTCAGATATAGGCACTTATTGTATACGTACTATTCTGTGCGGCGTGGAAGAGGCGTGCTGTGTGGTGAAGAGGCGTTAAGAAGCGACGCCGGGTAGTGGTGCGAGAGTTCAACTTCAAGAATTGTTTTCTCGCTTTAAACAAAAATTACTTTGATTAAACTTTCATAATTAAAAGACTATCGATTGTTCTTCCAAAACCCACCATATTTTGTACTTTTACTTGGACCACCTCAGGGTGAAATAAACGGCTGTTTATGCATCAAAACGCACTTTTTTGCTGCTTCAGGATTTTCGTTTACTGCAAAATATCTAATTGAGCGGTTTTAAAAATTTTTTTATAGATTATATACCTACATGGAAGCCGGTAAAAAGCTCTATTAAGTCCCGGGAGCAACTAGATAATTTTTTATATGAAAAATAAAATGTTAAAATTTTCACATTTTTGTTTTTATTTATTTGTTTATATTTCAATTAAACAAAACTTCAAAGCCCGACCACATTGTAAGTCGAAAGCCGTACAAATGTAAGAAAAAATATTGTTGAGTGTTTCATTAGAAAGCTAATTTTTCGTCAGTTATTGAGTGATGCCTAGTTTCACGCTGTTTTTAAAAGATAAAACCGCGCTCACGTCATTAAAAAAAAATTTTTCGTCAAAAATATTTTAGGGCATTGTTACAGACATTGCGGCAAAAGGCAATGCTTTCTTTCTTTTTTTTTTTTTTTAGAAATGGGAGGTGGTTGAGCGCGATGTCTGAGACGTTTGACATGGAATGACCAAAAGCCTGATTTTCGGTACGAAAGTCTGAAAACAGAGCGGACTATTTCGTATCTCCTTTCCTTTGAAAGCTCTCTGCTTTTTCATCGTGACACATCCGCGGCACCCAACGCGTTTCACCCGGCCCAAACGCACGTCGCACGACACCGGACCTCACTTGTTCCCTTCACTTCTAAGCTGACATTGAAGTGGAAGCTACGCGCTTGTCGGACCAATCAGCCGCCTCCCTTTCATCACCTGACCTCATTCTCTGCACGTGGGTTTGCGCGAGGGAGCGTGATCACGTGGCAATGTGTGGCTGGTCCAACGAGCATGTAGCTTCCACAGCACTGTCAGCTTAGGGGTCGACGGGGTGGGGAAAGCAAGCTTGTCCGAGTTTTGAGCGACGGGCTAGTCTATGAGGAGAATGGCGGTGTCCGGGTGCACAAAACGAGGGTCCAGAGGTGAGTCCCTCCTTTCCAATACGCGATTTGTGAGCTCAGGAGGAAAGCTAAGAAGGAAAAAGTTGAAAAATCTTTCATGTCCCCTTTAACTTATTTTCCTAAAATATGTTTACCGACTTTTACTTTTGATGGCATGAGCGTGGTTTTAATTTTTAAACTGAACATAGAACCAGGCATTATAATTATTCAATAGTTGAGTAAAAATCATATTTTTTTCGAAACGCTTCACAATTGTTTTTATGAAATTCGAACGTCTTTTAGCTTGCTTTGTTGTGATAATTATCTAATTTTTATTGTTGAAAAGTTAAAAAAATTAGCACTTTTGTTGTTGTTGTTTTTTTTTAACTAGCGCACGGCGCCTGGCAATTGCCTTTTTTCTTTCTATTGAAAGCGCTGTAGATGTATTACATATGAAACATGTTTGAAAGATATTTGCATGTTTGAAGCCGTACAGAAAAATACCTTACGGAAACAAATACGTGAGAAAGCCAGTTTTTTCTGCCTGAACAGCCGTTTATCCTACCCTGATGCGGTCCAAGTAAAAATACGAAAAATAACAACTTTGGGAAAAGAGTTTATTACAAAATTACTCTTTTTTTTTTAAGCGATAAAAAAAGCTATTGAAGTTCAGCTCCCGTGTCGCAAATTGGCATTGTTTCTTAGCACCTCTTCACCGCACGACACGCCACCTGACGCGAGAGCTGAGAAGCTTTGCGCGCACGCAAGGCAATTGCTGATCGGGAGTGTGATTTTCGCAGGGTGTTCTACGCATGTGCATTCTTGACTCGCAATTGCCCTGCATATACAGTCACTGTTTACAGCGAAAAACGTCGTTCGAATTATTAAATGATGCCTAGTTTTTACGCCCATTTTTAAAATTAAAATTACGCTCACGCCATAAAAAAGAAAAACATATTTTGGGCGAAACTATTTTAAGGAAAGGAAACCTTAAAACAAACAGCCATGTTTTTTTAATTATTATTATTATTATTGAAGATGGTCCAGCGCAACGTCTGAGGCGTTTGGCGTCGAATGACCCTTTTGCATTATCTTGTCAAGCTGCTAGCTGCCATGGGCGCCGCCATAACCGACCCTCAGATTTTGTTTCCCTTCATTCCGTTCGCTTCACTTCACCATTGCCGCAGCAGGAGAGGTTATTGACACTTTAAGTGCTACTGTGTCCTTCTCCCCAGCATAGGCCTCTGTGGAGATTCGTCAACCCTGCTTCAGTGGCTCGGCATCTCGGTAAGACAAGAGAAGGTCGGCAGTTGCGGCTCAACCTGGCGCGCGTGTAAAGCATCTATAATAATAATAGTGTGCGTATGTTTATACAGCCGGAAGTTAGTCAGCCTCAGTGGGGGTCGGTGTCTCAGCTGTAGATGAGAAATTTTCCGAGTGGAGTACAAGCGCCAGCCTGCGGGGTCTTTAGCGTGCATCAGGCAGCAGTGACACACGGAGACACGACCGCACGGCGCAGGCAGATACGACGCTCACTCATATCGAAACGGGCAGGGGTGAGGATTGGACTCAGGATGCCTAAAGCTTCTTTATCCGTGGAAAAGTGCCGTTATTCATCGTTGTGGAAATACTCGAGACACGTGCCGCGTGTTACTCCTAGGGAGAACATGGTGTCTGAAATCTAGCTCAGTGCTGCGCTAGAGTAGATGCGCTGTGCCGCCATAATCTTCTCAAAGGCCTCTCGCTGCACTTGCCTCTTCCATCGACGCACCTTGCGCTACTTTTAAAGCCCCGAGCGCCTGGGCGCTCGGGGCTTTCGGAGGTTCGGGCTGGGTAGGGGAGGATCCGGAGAGGGTGCGGGCTCCTATCCCGTCTTCCGGCATAGTAGGGGATGGTCCGTTACCGTTTGTGATGGTTCGCTCACGTGCTCACTCAGAAAAACGACGGACGCGCGCACCGCCATCGTTCCCTCAAAGCTTTTCCCGAGCTCTCTTGCACCTTTGGAAGCGCAATTGGCGAAAGTAAAACGAAATGGCCAAAACATAGGGCACTCGCTTGGAATCGGACATTTCGACTTCGGTAACGTCCTCATTAAAGGAAAAAATAAACAAAAGACCCAACAAAACGCTAATGCAAAATTCGGTAATACACGTACGTTAATAGTAAAATAAAACTTAAATGCACGGCGTTCAAAGTACACACAAAAATCGATGTATGAAAAAAAATATATTGTTGTATGGAAACATGCTCATTTCGGAATTGCACGCTTACGTCCAGATTGTCTCGGGAGCTGGACGGAAACAATTCCTCCTCGGAGGATTCCACCTCTTCTGGGGATGATGTGTCGTCGTATGGGAATATGCAGACAGGCGGCGTGGTTCGTGAACGGTTCACCGTTCCATCAAAAGAAAGAGATGTACTAGATGCACATAAAATAAACCCGACTGCTGACTCTACCCACGGTGCACTTGCAACTCTCAAATTGCTAATCCCCTAATGTCGCATCCCTGAGAACAAGCTATTTTATTGCAACATATGATTTTGCTTTCACAAATGCTGAGGCTGTGGAGGAGGGTCTCAGACCATCCTTTAAGATAAGTGAGGGGTCCGAGACCCCCTGGGACCCCCCAGACTTTAAGCCCTGGCAGAAACAAAAGCACACAAGCAGTAATGATATTTGGTTGTCGAATGTTTTGGAAACCAGGGAGTCGGCGACCTCGAAATTACGGTGTGCTTTGCTCCGTTCGCACCGTAAGATCACGGCTTCGCATTCCTTAACAGAAACGTGTGTTATTGCGCGCTTATCACCTTGGCTCCCCCGTCTGCTGAAGAGGAAGTGAGTTTAGGACCATCTGTCTCACGGTTCAGTGTTTTTTTTTTTCTGTTTTTTTTTTTTTTTTTTTTTTTGTATGAATGTTAATAAAGCGAGAGATTGAATCTAATCTCGAACCGAATGATTTGAGCAGACACACAGCCGAAGCCTCGACAAAACTTGGGTGCCCCAGACTTGAAGCAGTCGAAAGACATAAGTAGTCAAGACGTCAGGGACACCCGTGACTCATATCCTAACGAAAACAGGAGAGCTGTGAATCGAAGTCGCGCAATAAACACCGATCTAGCAAGGGTTTGCCAGCAGTCACCTGTCGCGGCGTTCGGCTGAAAGGCAGCCTAGGAGGCGCTAGCGTCGAAATGAAAGAGGGACAGACTCGCAGAGAGGAGAAAATAGCGAGAGATCTGCCCGCAGTTTTACCAGTGATAAGGGCCAGGCACGTAGCCAGGGGGGGTGGCCATGGGGCTCGAGCTTCCCTCTCCCCCCGAAATCTTCCTTTTTACTGGGGCCTCCTCTCTCCCCTCCCCCTCATACAGCATTTTGTCGAAGGCGCCCCCCCCCCCCCCCCCCCCCCCCCCCCCCGAAACAAAATCCTGGCTACGTGCCTAATAAAGTCACGAATTCGAAATGCAGCTGCAGGTATCAATCGATACAGGTCAGTTATGATAAATTTAGGGCACGTTTGTGTCCGTATTTTACTTATTTTGTTTTTGAATTTTGAAGGATTGGGAAGGCAGAAAAATTAAACTCAGAATTTAAAAAAATTGGGAATATAACAAAAATAAACACCGATAAACCCCGAATTTTCAGCGAAAAATATACTCCGATAAACACCCTCCGAATTTCACGAAAAATGAACTTCGAAAACGCGGAATCCTAATTATAGTTTACCTAAATATTGCACGGTTTTGCAATTCTTGGCTTTCAGCAAAGTGTTATAACTGTTCTGTACTTGGTTTCCGGTAGTTCTGTTATACATAAAGTACTCTTATGTCGGTGTCATTTTTTGTCAGATTGAAGTTTTGCGACTTTATTTTTCGACAATTACTTTTCAAAGGAAATGTTTACCAGTGACGCTCATAATAAAGCTTTATGTCGTATACATCAAACAGGACCATTTTGAGCCATTGTGTACTATAAAAGTCATAATAATTTGGAGGTAGTGGAGTATAAAAGAATATGTAATATCCTAATGAGTCCAGAAAACGTACGTCGTGGGACATCGTGAGGACGTCCTTCGGCGTGTCACTTGATAGGTTTTCAGAACCTTAATCAGCCGTCCGTAGGACATCTCTAACGTCCCAGTATGGCCATCCTTAGGATGTCCGCCGAGTGTGTGAACGTTGTCTGGGTATAGCTGTTCTTATACCTACAAAGTCTACAGGGTGTCCCATGAAATCCTAAGGATTTTCTTTTTCTCCCAACACTGCATTGCATAGATTCTGACCTGCATAGCAATTGCTCTGAATCCTTCAAAGGAGGAGGATGCAACTTTTGGTCATGGGGGATTTTTATACCTATACTTGTAATAAATACAGGTGATTACCAAGTAGAAATCAAAATGTTCTTTTACTAGAGATTAGCTAAATCCATATTTGCATTATTGGTGTTATGTTTATTTGAAAAAATACATAAATTGGCAGCATTACACGACTGAATGTCTGAAGAGTAATTGTAAGCTGCATATACATCTAGGCATCTCTCTTCAGCTTGGCCAGGGCAGCCAGCCGCATGTCCCTCCATTTGCGCCACTTGGGAAGATCCTTGACTGGGATCTTCTCCTCCAGCTCTTTGTTCACCTTGGCTAGGGTGGGACCATCGAAGCTGGGGACAGGGCCAAAGGACTGGGACACCTTGACGATTCCCTTGGCATACTTCTGGCAGTACTCGATCATTCCTGAAATGATCGATTGAACCGATAAGGAAGGGCTGTTGAAACACTGAACGCCTAAAAGGTGCAGAAACCTGAGCTGCAACATTATCTTCAGTGGGTCGCTGAAATTTAATGGGCTTGCCAGAAGTCCAAACGTGCTGGTTCTTTACAAGTTGCAATTTGGGGCTTTATAAAGAGCTTTTCCACTTGCCTTCCGCATTCAGATGAGCGGTTTCCAAGGGTCCCAAGAATGCATAGCGCATCCCAAGTCCGTTCGACATGACCGTGTCCATATCCTGGGTATCCACGACTCCGTCCTAGGACACAGTGTTAGGCAAGTCGTCTTTTAATTTAAGTGCCTCTTTTATGACATGTGCTGTCATGAAATGCTTTGCTGTGGCACAAGCATATATTGATCGTATTTAAAGGTGCTTAATGCCTAGAGGCAAATGTTGATTAAAAGTTCTCTGCTGGTCGAATTGGCATATCAACCAATTGTGTGCAGCATGTTTATGTTATAACTAACACTTCCGCTTATGGCATAGTTACCTGAATGAGCCTCCAGCATTCATTGAGTATAGCGCATTGAATCCTGTTGAGCACAAAGCCATCCACTTCCTTCTTGAGGACAACTGGCTTCTGGCCAATTTCCTTCATGAGAGCACGGGTTCGGATAACAACCAGGGGGTCTGTCCAGGGGGCTGGAACGACTTCCACAAGTGGGACGTAGTATGGTGGATTGACCTGGAAACCGAGCATCTTTTTCTTAGTATCCTTAGACGCCGCAGCAGGGCTTTATCGATGGCACACTTACAGGGTGACCCACAATGGCTTGACTCCTATGTCTAAGATCCCTGGTAAAGCTCGAAGGTGGCAAGTAGCTCGCGGAGCTGCACAGAACCACTTTGTCGTCTGCAAGTTTGTCCATCTCGAGGAACACTTTTTGTTTGAGCTCCAAGTTCTCAAAAACGCATTCCTGGAAAAGTTGGAGTTTTCTAGAAAATTTGGTAAGTTCTTACGGTTTATCCACGTACCTGGACGTGAATGGCCCCCTTAATACATTCTGCCATCGAAGCACTTTTCTGGACGAGTTGATGCTGCTGTTTTGCAGTGAGATTGCCTCGCAGAGACCCATTTTTCTCTAATGTCTTGAGCTGATCCTCGATATCCTTCAGGGCATCGTCGATTTTGCGTGACTCCACGTCAAAGAGTGCAACCTTGTAGCCCACGCTGGCAAAAAGCATCGCCCAACTTCGGCCAATGAGGCCGCTGGAAACAAAGCAGTTTTGAGTGTGGAGTTGCCATTACTACACAGTAACTAATGAAATACATAAAAGGGGCGAAACAGACGACATTGCTTTAGTGTCGTCTGTGTCGTCCCTTTTAAGTATTTCTTTCGTTACTGTGTAATTTCCTATCAACGCGCTCAACTCGCCAAAGTGCCATTACCAAGTCCGTTTTCTATAGCAGTTGATTTGTCGAATGTCCATTTCAGCTAACTTTGTATTACTATTAGTGAATGGTCCTGTTTTCGCTTAAACTAAAACGAAAGCCTCTCTACCATATATGATTACAAACGGCCGCATGCGGTGGTACATCCGCTAATCCCACCATGCCAATAACCTTTTTTAAGGTATTTGGTTATTATTAATATTTTTCTTAACTAAAATGCATGCTGTCATTAAAAGATCTAGTGTGAGAGTGCAGGTCTGAGGCGCCAACTTCGGTGGTAAAACTTGGCATCTAGCTACCAAAGGCGAAAAAGCACTCATGCCGTGTCTGCAAGCGGGACTTCTTTTTTGCACGTTGTCAGGGCGCGGTCATGTGACAACAGGAATCACGTGACCAAAAGAGGGAATATTTGGAAATGTCGTTATTTGTCCTTTCTAAATGCATTTGGCTTCCATGGATACTTCTTAGATGTCTGGATGAGCGAGGCGTCATGTAGCGGGATATGTTGATGTTAAACATGCCGCTCCTCAGCATAAACAAGAATTTTTTAAACGTCCTATTTTCCTACGGTCTGAGAGAATTATGTATGAGAAGTGTGACCCCGGCTTAAAAAAACATTAATAACCCCCCAATTCTTTTTTGCCAGGAGATTTATTTATGCGTCAGGGTCAGTCAATCATTCAATCCAATCAATCACTTCAATCAATATTTTGCTCCAGCGTCACATATAGTTTTTGATAATGTCGAAAAACGCAACTGCTCTAAGCCGAATAGGGTGACCACCTTCCTGCTAGCGAAATGCGGGACACGCGGGGCGGGGGGTGAGAGAGAGAGAGAGAGAGGGAGAGGGGGGTAGCGGAAATTAATTAACACGCACACTACAAACCGAGGCTGTGTTAACAGATTTAATATCTTGTTTTGTTTATACACTTGTTAAATGTATCGGAGCAATTAAGCTGAAATAGTTTTCACTCCCAGTGATATATTTTTTATGCCAAATATGTTATTAAACGTGCTGAAAGTTGAACATAAAAATCGACAGTAGCAGAACTCTATGCATCAGATGAAATAGGAAACAGTAAATCTTTTACGGGTTATTGTTTCCTATCAACGTACTTTTAGCAACATGGTCCTACACAATACTTTTTTAACATTATGTTATTTTTCGACCGTTATGGATGGATGGATGGATGAATACGGCTGAGCCCTTTGGATCGGGCGGTAGCTTACGCCACCTAGCCATTTTGTTGTTTATGACTTGAGGCTTCTTGCGTCACCTGGCGGATTTTGTTTTCATGAAGACAGTTACTGTCTTTCTTAAAAAAAAAAAAAAAAAAGATCCGCAGCAACCCTTTCGCATTTGCAGAGCGATTTGAAAATAATTACAATATTTTATATTTAAAATTTTGGCGAGCATTGTTTTTTACAATAGTTTGCCCCCAATGGGGAGAGCCACAACGGCGTATGCGCGTCGGTTACTCCTGCAAGAACGACGGTCGCTTCCCGCAATGCTTGGATAGAAAATGACGTACCATTGCGATTCACACGATTACCATCGACCTTCGCGCTTCCCCGTGCCGTGTAGTTCGGCAGCACCACGAGTTACAGAGTGAATTTTACGACACTCTGAAATGCGGGACATTCTGAAGAGTTCAGAAATTTTCGCGGGACGCGGGACGCGGGACACGAGCCCTCAATGCGGGACAGTCCCGCGAGTCGCGGGACGGGTGGTCACCCTAAAGCCGAAACCAAAAATCACGTGGCTATGCAACTTTTTTTTTTTTCTCAATCAATCTATTTGCAGCATTTTAGAAGTCACAAAAAAAAAAAAAAATTGAGTATCGTATTTTTTGTCCATTTTTAGTATTGAGTGTGTATCTTCCATGACCCTCCCGACTTTGCTTATCTTTGGTGGTTGTGCCTAAACCATAGAAAACAGCACGTGACCTCGGAGAAGAGAGTGAGCGCGGCTCAAACTGACCGGTTCTCGATCGGCGGTTTTCGGGCGGAAAGATAACGAATTTCGAGCCGCAGGGCTCTTATATGTCATATAAAATAAAAATCTTGGCGAGCTTACATACCCTGTCAGTGCTCGATGCACACCAGAAGTTGCGCAACGAGGGCGGGAGCCTGTCGCTCCGTCGTTTGGGTTTCTTTTGGTCGAGACTGTACATGATGATTTCCATCACCGTGCGTGTGCTCCTGCCTTTTTTTTTTTTTTTTTTTTTTTTTTTCTGTTCATACAAGTTTATGATGAACACCTATATAACTCTCTTCCTACATTCAGTTTGTTTTTACATTTTCTAGTTTATATTGTTTACTTCCTAAAAACGGTCTTATATTTTCAAGAATGTATCTTTTGAAAATAAATTTTATATTTCAAACTTGTTTAGTTTTTCGTGCTCATGCTAAGGGCTGATGACGCATAGTATTCAGTAGTTACTTTGAATACAAAGTAGTTTTGTTACATCACTCAACAAAAAATTTCTACACAGTAACATATTGCACAAATTATGCTCTATGGCACCACTTGATAAATGTCAAGTGCTGCAATAAAGCATCACTTGTATGAGCATGTAACAAGAATTAGTGATAGGATTAATTTAAATGTGGTTGTTGCTTGCTGTAAAAGCCCAAACTGCTGTATTTGTAGTGCTACAAATACAGCAGTTCAGGCTTTTAGTGCAGGAAAGAACATCCTCTCACTAATTCTTTTTACATGCCCAGACACTAGCTCCGAGTTGTACACAAAGGAATGTTGGCACATGTCCTGAAAACGTACGAAAAAAGTCCTGAGCCATCATCCAGAGAACATTTCCAGGACGTGCGCCGGCCGGTGCAGTAGAGCCAAGCTACAGTGGAGAGAGCGTATGCCAACATGTTCAAGAGGAGGGAAAGGAGGAACGGGGAAGAAGGGCTGAGATTCCCCCGTTCCTCTTTTCCCGCCTTTTGTAACAGGTCGGGATACTCTCCTTCTCTCCTTTAGCTTTGGCTGTACTGCACGGTTTTATTAGTGAGATGTAGTAAAGTTGGACTGCTTGAGGATGAGTCGGGGACAGGGGTTGCCACAGGAATTGAAATTAGGGGAGGGAGGGAGGGAAGGAAGGGAATCTAAACTTTCAGAAATTTGGCACGCTTTATGTGCCTCCATACCGTGTGAACGCGTCTTCGTGTGGCTGCAGTCATGAAAAGCACGGTGCCGCATTCTACAACGTTGGGCACAACCAAGAAAACGTTACGTGCGGCCTGATACTAATGTAAGAAAAGTTTTTTTTTTTTTTTTTTTTTTTTTTTTTTTTTTTTTTACAGCGGAGTTTTTAAAGGCTAGTTTCCCCAGGATCGTGTCCGTCCTCAAATGACCTATGACAAAGAACTCTGGACAGCTACCGCCATCTATAGGCAACAGCGGCAACCAGCTTGCCGGTTGTCTGGTTGCCGCTGTTGCTTATAGATTATAGACAACCAGACCGCTTGCCGCTGTTGGTTATAGATTATTGACAACCGACTTGCCGGTTGTCTGGTTGCGGCTGTCGCTCAGATGGTGGCAACCTTTTGAGCTTTTTCGCTTGGCTTACCAACTTGCGGCCGGCCATTACTTCATACCCACCATAGTACAGCTTTGCTGGTCTACCTTCTTCACCAAAATAGAAAAACTATTTTTGTTAATGTTTTTTACAGGTTATTAAAACTGCAGTCCACTGCATATTTATTTTCTGAAAATGCCTGTTCAACCGCGACGCCGCCTGCAAACAAAATATTTGTTTGACCATGGTTAAAATCGCGCACAAAGAGACGAGGACAAACGAAGAAGGAACACAGAGCACAGACAGGCGCGCACTCACAACTCTAGTATATTAAGTGAAGAAGAGAAAAATGAAGCACTTTCAATCACTTTCAGTCCGAACCCCGAAACTCCAAAGTTCGAGATGCCAAAATGAGGAGAAACAAATATAGTGACATCACGGACGTCAAAATAAATTTTGTAAATAGACGTCTAGGGACGTAGATGGAGGAAGGGAGGGGGCAGGAGTTACGTAAGTGGTACTTGATCCCTGTTGTCACGTGACTGCGCCATAACTGCGCCCTGGCCACCGTGGGTGCGTATTGTCGGCACCGATTTGAAGTCCATGGGGCGCGGCCAGTGTCATCACGGACGTCCAGATTCTATTTGCTGTTCTTTGACGTAAACGCGTTTTATTTTGGATGCCGCCAACTGCATTTTGAAACGTCGGTCAGTCGGCGAGTCTGTGCGCGTGGTCGGGTGCTTACGTCAAAGAACACCAAATATATATAGGACGTCCATGAAGTCATTGGCCGCGCCCTCTCTGGACCTCAAATCGGTGCCGAAAATACGCACCCTGGTACGGATTCGTCTGTACCCAGGGTGCGTACGCTTATTGCTCCTGTCCTTCTGAAAGTCGTCGTCTGCTTTTCCACAACAAACTACCCACAAAAAAATCGCCAAGGGACCTCCCCGACCACCAACTCCCCTTCCTTTTTTTCCACAACAAATTTTCCGGGGGCCCTCCACCAGTTTCCTCCTCACCCCTTCTCCTTTCCTCTTCTCCCTCCTTCATTTCTTCTCCTCCTCGAGCGTAGTGCTACGACGCCAGACGAATCTCCGCACCCTTTATGCTACGCTTGCGTTGTTGAGCGTTCTCTTCCGGCCATGAATCGAAAGTGGTCCCGAACTGGCAACAAATGATGTCACAAAAGCCGGAGTCTCATCCTGTGGGATGTCGCGATCCTAGTGGTTGCGTGCAGAAATGCTGGCGAAAAGCACGAGTAGCACGAGCGAACATGAGTGTCGCTGTCGTCGCGGCGTGCCAATAGGGAGGCTCAAGTGAGGGTGGGTGCAACTGCTAGATCGGCGATCACGGGACATGGACGCCATTTAATTGCTAAATTTTGCTGGGAGTCTATGGGGCAAAGGGTCGTTTTCTTTCCTAACTCGGGTCATAACAGCCCATTAAGGTGCTTGAATAATTTACACAAGGTATAAATGATTACTTTTCCATAGCCACCAGTTTTGTTGCGATAGGTTAAGTATTTTTTTAACGCGAAAAATGGTAAATTCCGCCATCTTGGACGTTGCTGCTTGTCTGGCAACTTTGCTTTCTCCGCTCGACGTTTGCAATTCTCGGAGCGAGAAGGAAGCGAGAGAGGCTGCGCCAAGGCGCTCGTTGCTTGCAATGGGAGGCGAGAGGAGGAAAGGCGCATGGAGCAACAGAGCTGCAACAGAGCGGGCGCCTGCTCTCGTGCAGGCAACACTGGCACATATCCTTTCTCGAATCCTCTCCCTCAGGCGCCGCCATTAAATTGCAAACGCTCTCCAGGTTTTGAGTTGCGCCCACCCTCACTACAGCCTCCCTACGTGCCAACTCCTAAGCTTCCGTGGACTATCAAGCTGGAGAGCAGTGCTGTGTGCTGTCAGTGACTCGGTGCTGTAGAGCGATCTGCAGCAGTACAGGCATGAACCAACTCGCCCACATCGCTACTCTGATGCAGTACAGGCAGTACAGGCGTCTGCCACCTACACCACCGCCGCTGGGACACCGCCAGGATCGCTGTCGGCGACAGCATGACACTTTTATGACGTCATCAGGCGGAAACCGTGGGGCCACATATTTGGACGCGGTAAACGCAGCAAACACACCAGTTGGAGACGGGTTCCAGGCGCAATATGCGTAGTGAACAAACATCGTGAGCGGAGCAATGCATCGTAGAACGAAACGTGCGGCGATGCACCGATGAACTCCTCCCGGTAGAGGTCACGACCCCGGCAACCCCGGCGGCAACCCTGATACCATTATGATTACGCAAAGTCCAATTGTCTCTTTTTTATGGGAGAGCACACTTCAGTTGCTTCAGTTGAACAGATAAAACACGAAAAAAAGTTAGGTGGACGATGCAATAACATTGTTTGAAAGAGCTCAACCAAGCACTAAACAGGTTACAGCGCGCGAACTCTGCGAACGCTGCGAACATCCTTTTGCTTTCTTGCTTTTCGAGCAGATCGACGCACGTGGCGGAGGACGTAGCTAGCCAACATCGCTTTTTACTTCTCCTGGAAGCATACAGCGGTTGAAACATTCGTGCCAGCCAGAGCCAAACGAAATACCAAGTAAAGACAACTGTGCGCTCACCTGCCTATGATGCCTACTTTTACCTTTTCCATATTTGCGGACGTTCTTCACTGCACCGGCGGCTGCTCGTGATCGAATGTACGCGAGCGTAGCGGCGGGCGGTACCCAGCTGCGGGAGTTCTGGCTTCGGGGGATGGCACCGTTCCAGACGATGAAAGAAAATGCGACTGGAAGTCGGGCCTCTCTTTTACAGCAAACGACACTCTTTCCCTTCGGGCCCTTTCCTTTTGGGTACCGCTGCTTGCCGCTGAGCTTCCACCAAGAAGATATCGTTCGATCGTAAAATTCGATAGGGATGCGACAGGCCCCAATTTTAATGTGCGGCAAAGCTGTGTTCCTTTTATGGTAAGCCGAATCAAATAAAAAAAAAAAAAAAAGAAGAAAAAGCTGTGCTGCTTGTACCTGCCATCAACACAAAATTGTGCTGCAAGTTTTACTTCTACTCTGTAACCATTGAGTAGCAGTACTCGACCTTTTCGGCTTGCTGGTATTTAAAAAAAGTGAACGAAGTTGTAACGAGTATACTGCAGGAATATGGAACAAATCAAAAGTAAGGGCAATGAAAAATATAGGCCACTCATCCTGGCTAACCAATGTCCTAAGATAATTAAATTAACCCTTCAGATAAAGGCATTTTATTTTATACGTACTATTGGCAACAATTAAAAAGTATGAGGAAGGATATTTACATATCCATGTCGGATGTGCATGAGTACAGCAGTTCCGAATAAGTTTCCAAACCTGCACTGCAATGAATGTCAGCCTCATCCAGACAGTACCCTGTAGACATCTCAGCATCGGTTGATTGACACACATCACGGAATTTTCAAAACAATGCATAGACATTTTATTGTATATTTGATATTTACTGCACAGGTAGATTCAACTGTACGCTACGGCACCAAAAATCAAGTCCAGCCGTTTGCTTGAAAGCCCATGCAGCTAATGAAAGGATATAGGAGTGCTTAGATATAAAATGTATTTCAAAGTTCACAGTAAATATTATGCCCAAAAAGTGACGTATAACAGGATAAAAAGCATGATTAAAGTTAACAAATCAATCAAATTATTAGAGATCTTCTGTCAGGATTGGGTCGGTTTCGGAGCTTGGTGAGAGGTAGACGATGAGCCATAGCGCATCCGTCCTCTGAACAGCCGTTTTGCTGAAGGGTAAAAAAAAAAAAATGAGAATGTGAAGCGACAATAAACAAAACCTGCACGTGCACTCCTATGCCTCCACAAACATGCATACGGGAAGTTATTGCTTTACTCTCTTTGGTGAAAAGGAAAGATCCCAAGTGTTGTCCATGTGGAAACTAAATTAATGCACCAGCAGACTTATTCCAAGTAAAACTAAATACACCTGGACTTCTTTGCTGATGTGCATAGGGTACACCAGGTGTACACTCGGTAATAAGTGCAAAATATGAACACAAATGCTGAGTAGTTTGCTCACAGACAACTTTGAAGCCTGTATTCTGGCACGTCACCACAGTTTTGCTTCACTCACAATTTCAATAAGGCATTTGTAAACAGATAGGAAACAGATACCACAATAGACGTTGAGATTCATTCTAAGCTTGCTTTCTTGAACACAATAGTACCAAGTAGATTACTTGTGGCAGGAGTTGTCGACAGATGTGGGAAAAGACCCACAATGCGGTCAGTTAATTAATCTGCGATTATTTCAAAAACTAGACGGGCAAACTGAGCGTAATGCTTGGTTTGATCTTTTATGTGCATTTGGGAACATCTCACAACCAGAACTTCTGTAAAACACATACACGTACCTACCAAAGATTTTTTTTTCTTCTTTCATATGACTAATTTATGTCCTCTCGCCCCCTACTTTTTATTATCAAAAGTTTTACATAACTGCAGTGGTGTAGTAATGGGTCAGGGGGGGGGGGGGAGGGGCAGGTACTAGCCATCCCAGCCACATGGAGCCACCTCTGGCAGCACCCAGAAATCCCCCCCTCCCCCCTACTCTATTGGTTGCAATCTCAGGGAGTGAATGGAGGGGGAATGGCCTAGCTCCATTACACCATTACTGGCTCACCAAACAAAAGATCTCATGAGCGCTAATCAATGAAATAGACCGAGTATATGCACAATCGAAGCTTGAACACTTTTTGGTTTGGAAGGCTGAATTGCACTCTTGCTCCAGACAAAAAAAGAAAAAAGAAACTAGAAAACAAATATGCTAAAAATAAAGTCATCATCCAAGTCACGCCAAAAAGTAATTTCGGACAATGAGATGCTAACCACATTTTCCAAAAACCATGATAGTTAGCAGAGACAATGGAAGTGTATAGTGTTTTTCTTCCACTCCACTGACCTCTATAGTAGTAGGCTGGATCGCAGATCGAGGCTTGCTTGCTGAAGCCGAGTGGCACCACAAGCAGCCATCACTCAACACAAGCTAATGCATGAGACTATGGAAAAACGAGGAAAAGTGCCGTTTCCCCTGTTTCTAGGCTGTTGTCGGCACTGTAACTTTTACGCTGTTTTTCGGGAAACATGTCGTAAAGCTCGTGCACAAACATTAAAACTGTGAGCCCTCGCAGTTCTTATAAATAAATGTTTTGAAGACAAGAGTGACTCCACTGGGCGAAGAATGGAGTTCAGCTCAACGAGAAAAGAGTTACCTAGAGTTACCGCGGAGTCAGTGGCAGTTTCATTGAGTTGGGTTTAGCAGATGACAAGCTTGAAGGCTTTGCTATGCAGAATTCGCTCACTCCCGGAAAGCCACTGTCAAGCTGGAACTTTTTTGAGATTCATCAAATTCTTTTGTTTACTCCACTACGACAGCAAGCTTGCCAGCTCAGCCATGGGTCCTCTGGCACGTTTGATTATTTAACAAACGTTCAAACGCTTTACAAATACCGATTCTAACTCCAAACACCCAATATAATGACCGCAGCGCATCATAAAATATCTGTCTTTGATTGCCACGTAGAAACTTCAATATTCCTACTTTTGTATGTTTCTCCCATAGACTGGCGTGTATTGCCTGGTGTCAAGCAATGGCCGCCGCCAATGGTATCACCGACGGGCTCCCGATCCGCGATCCAGCCTACTACAATAGAGATCAGTGTTGCCCTCTTTCACTCGATTCTTGGCACTGGAGCAGTACGGAGGGAATAAAGAAAACTGACGTGGGACAAGTTCCGTGTTGAGCGGGTTGATGACAAGACCTGCGCCAGCATAGAAAAGCACCACCAGAAGTCCGACAACGCCGGCCACGATGAAGGAAGGCGTGTTGCTGTACTGGTGCACAGAGCACAGGTGAGAGCTCCAGAGCATGTGCGTCGCATTCATCTGCACACGTTGGATGGAAGAAAGAAACATGGTTCTTTAAGTCCGGTTCGCACATTTGCGTTTGGCTGCGATCGAGTGCCTTGCTATCTCTTGTGGCCACTTACAATGAGAACACACACTGGTGCCACCTATCGGGCAGCTCTGGAACACTTCAAATTATTGTTTATTTGCTCATTTTTATGTGTCATTCTTTCCGCACGGCCTTGAAAGAATTTTGACAATGTTATAAGTAGGGTGTGTACTTTCCGGTGTTTATTTGTGAGAAAAATCGGCGGATGTTTTTCGGTGTTTATTTATTTTTAAAACACCGGTGTATTTCGGTGGAACGTCTCACGACAAGGCTAAAATCGGTGATTATCGGTGGAAAAAAATGCGATTGATCACAGACAGAGAGTTCCAATTTTATTCACGTATTTCATACACTTCTTTTTTAGGAAGCATCTTTTTCTCACACTTGGTTATTATAGTAGATGCAAGCATACTTTGAGAGGCTTGCATCCGTCATGGCAGCAGGATGCTTGCGGTTCACAACCCACAATTATGAAAACGCACGCTCCTGTATGACACGGACGTTGGCAGTGTCTTCCAGGAACCACAGCAACCTCTGAATACGTGGCTTGCACCGACATCACTTGACCAGACACAATAGGGAAAGGGCACGAGAGCCTACCCTCCACCGCGTTAATTTTTCGACAAAAGGGGGCCATGGGAGACACAATAGGGGAAAGGCGTGTGAGAGCTTAGCTTCCACTGCGTTCACTAGACGCTTTTGACCTCCAGAAAGCAGGGCGGACTGACGCCATGTGCAAGCCATGTATAAACAGTGGAAGGATCCACGAGATAACACGTTTGACGAACCTCTACGGGGAAAAGGTTTCGCTAGGTCGGAATCATGCCACGACCGGTTTTTCGGTTTTAACCAGAACGAAAAAATCCAACCACCGGTGTTTTTCGGTTTTAACCGATTTTATATTTTCGTCACCGACGGATGTTTATCGGTGTTTTTCGGTTAAAACCGGAAAATACACACCCTAGTTATAAGCAACCATTTCTCGTAGACAGTGCATGGATGTTATCCTTGCAAACACTGCAAAACCATCTGTCTAGTCGCATGCAGTTCCGGGGCTACCCGACGGATGGCATCGGTGTGCCGGTGTATTCCACCGACTTGTGTTGTGTCGGCTCGTCGTAACGGTCACGAGAGATTGTAACGCACCCACCCGATCACAGTGTTTTGAAGCTGCAGTGTAGCTTATGGCGAATTCCACTGTTCATTTTGGAGCGCGCCGGGATCGACTTTTCTGGAGCGAGCCTCTTTCACTGGGTGATCGGGATCGAGACGGACGTGTTCCACTGGTCATTTTGGATTAGCTCCCGCTCCAGATCTCGATCTGGATCTGAGAAAAGTCGCTCCGACGATTTCGGCAGATTCAACCGGAAACCAGGCGGGTCAGCCCTCGGCGCACACACGTGACTTCCTTTCTCGCGGGGCATCTCGCCCATCTCGCGTAATGGCCACTTGCTTACCAGTTCGTTTTCCAGGAAGGAGAAGAGAAAGTTTTGGCCGCTCTACGGGCATTCCGGCAATCTTTGCTAGAAGCTCCTGAGCTATTCCTGCCGCTCGTGCGTCGAACACGTGTTAGCGCCACGATTGCGAAAACGTCTTCAAAACGACCGCGGCAGCTGCGGAAAGGGGATTCCCAGGCAGTTGAATGACGGGAAGGCACTCGCCGATCCCAGAGCAGTGGTCATGTTCTACTGGGGATCCGTAGGCGGCGCGACCCTGTTCAGATCGTGTGCTCCATTCCAGATCTGGTCAACTGATCCCGGCGCGCTCCAAAACGCCCAGTGGAATTCGCCATTAGTGGTAAGACGTCTGCCTCATGAGCAAGTGGTCCCAGGTTCAATCCCTAGTGCAAGGTTACTTTTGTTTTTTTTATCTCTCGAACATTTTGTTTTGTCGACGCATTTGTTGATATTTACATTTCTCTTTTACGATCAACATTGGGAAAACCTAATGTTGTCGACGAAATTTCGCTGAACGAAATTGTACAGGACTTTGTTTCCGGAAGCGCATGGGGAACAGCGGGGCTTGGTTTGCCGGCTGAATGCTGCAAGGCGGCATGTACGACGGGGTTAAATGGGTCAATAGTTTTGTAATTAGCAGCCGCATACTGTCGCCGCAAAGCGGCGTGAACGCAGGCAGGGGGTGTGTTAACGAGCTCCCCAGTGATACACGTGCCGTCCCACTCTCTTTCGGACGGGACTTGTAGGCGCGAGTGGAGTGCCATTGGACGGCACGGTAGACACAGCCTTAAAAATGAGACATTGCATTGCTTATGAATCAGAAACTCATCTGTATATAACAATACGAGGCTCGCAGAAAACATTGTAATTATGCTTAGAGAAAACAAGAACTGAAATAAGCAATGTATAAACACACCTTTGGCATTAAAACCATCAAAGTGTATCTGGCACGCCCAAGCGAAGGACTGAGGATTAATTTCAACCAACTGGGGATCTTTTTACGCGCTACGAAACTCTGTGTTGGTTGGCGCCTTGTCCGCAATAAGCCTCCATCAGACTGTAGGTACCTCGGCCGGGATCCAAACCAGCCAACCGGGTTTAAATGGAGGCAAGCTTACCGCATCTACCATGTCGAAACAAATGTTGCCATCCTTGCTAGCTCGAACCAGGCCATTGTAAAACCGGTTGAGGTCTCTGTACGGTCCATCGCAGATAATGCACAGGTTGGTCCTGTTCTTGCTCTCCTTTGGTAAAAGAAAAAACATGTTCATATATTGAAGCCGTTTCATGGCAACTGCAGCAGCAAGCTTACCGACTCGGACCGATCCACACATTCATTCATTTCATGCAGCTTTCGATTGAAGATTATTGTGTCGTTCGAGACCATGTAGCCGCCGTCGCTTGACAGCTGTTTCTCAAAGCAACCTGGAACGACAAAGAAGATTACGTTTGGTATGCAATTTTTCCGAGGGGGTTCGTTACGAGAGGCTTACCGTCACACGAGGCGCTCTGCCAGAGGTCCCGAATGTGCACAATCGTTTTGTAGACGACGGAGAACTTTGCAGACGAGAAAAACTCGTCTTTGCACAGCTTCATTGTAGGATCTGTGAGCTATGCACGAAAAAGAAAGGGGTACGTAGAAAATTAACACTAAATGACACTAGTCCATAAAGATGAGCAGAGCTCAAGAACTGCGAAATAATTTTGTTCAGAGGGCAGAGAATTTTGATTGTGAAATAATTGTGCGACTACCTTGACTTCTGATAATAAAGTTCATTATTATTATTATTATTATTGTATTTGGCAAACAAAGGAAATAAGAAAAAAGTGCAAGGAACACAACGTGAGGGTACCGCGTCACTTCGGCAACGTACTCGTCCAGACCCTTTATTCTGGAAAGGCAGATTTGCAAAGGTGCACTTACGTTTTTCTGAAGCTGGTCAAAGATCCTCACGGCGACCCCATATTCGTTGACGCAACTTTCACACATTGTGAAGGGGCGGGCTCTCATGAGCGCACACCGCTCGAAGACGGAGGTGACGTTTGCGATGGTCACCAGCAAAAGAGTGCAGTTCTCCCATGGGGCATCTTCGTTCCCCAAGAGGGATTCAGAGTGTTCCCGAACGTCGATCATTCGGGACCAGTTTGGCTTGTCCGAAATCAACGCACTGCCGTTCGCAAACGATGCATGGGAGGAAGTGACGAGCGCGAGTATCACAATGCACATAGTCGTTGCTGCAATGTTTGTTGCCGCCATCGTGATCATGAGCTTGAAAAGGTCGCTCCACCGCAACAGAATTAATTTAGGACATCATAGCGCTAATATTAAAGCTTACGTCGTCTCACGTCTGTCAAACACAAATCACATGTTTCCGTATTTTTGTGTTTCTGTTAAGTTTCCTCTTTTTTCTTCTCTCTCCTGGTTATTAGCACACGCCAAGAACTTCGCTAGTTATGGGTAAAAAGCAACGCAAAAAAATTTGATAAAAACAACTTTATTTTTTAATATACAAAATGGCGCTTAAAACGTATATTTTTAATGCGTATGACACATGCTGCATTGGAGCTAACAAGCCAATAAAAACATTGAATAAAAACGATTCATTAAAAGAACTATCCTTTCTAGCCAAGAGTCAAGACTATCCAATCCATTTGACAGCCATTTTGTCATTTGAGTTTTTGTGGCAAGTGATTGCGTTGATTGCGTTGGGTGGATTGGGTGTGTGAGAACGTTGCCTCAAAATCATTGTGCTGTGGTTCTTCCGAGAAAAAAGAAAGAAAAAAGAATGGCGCATTATTTAACTCATGGGAGCCTATTGCCATCAGCTGGAAGCTCCACATCAGGACTGGCATTCGCTGGCACGAGCACGCAAGACCTTGCTCAGAAGGAGCATCTCCAACAGCGACACTATGCCCTGTTTCGCGAACTTCAGCTCATGTCTGGCGAACTTCCACAGTAGGCGTCAATCGGCATCTTCTATCTTTGACCCATGGTGCTATTGGGCACACTCGAATCCCCGCTTATCACGGTTTGTTTTTGTTTTCCAGGAGCTACCAACAGAGGCTGCCTTACGAGCTGCTCTCGAGTTTAGCCAACTCGCTGTTGGACGGCACCGTCTACGAGATCGTGCGTGGTCTGAAAGACATTCAACTGATGGACGAAAAATCACTCTTCGAGACCCGAAAGGCGGTTCTAAACACTCAGCGAGGTTTGTGGCGTTTCAGTGGACAGTCGAGGGGGCTGGGGAATACTTTGCGTTCGTTGACTTTTTGTGGTCGGATTGTTTACCCCCCCTCTTCACTTTGCCGTTGAAACGATTGACCATCAGTTCTTCCTTCGAATGACACGAAGCATAAACAGATTTGTTTGCTCACCATCATGCGAGCAAGAGTCTTTCAGACTGTTACATGAAAAAAGAAAGTGTTTTAAACAGTATGATTTCGATTTTCTTGAGCCTGAGGCTATGCGGTAAATAAACACAAAATCGGCATAACAAAATAAATAATGAGAGTAGTGCGGGTGAGCTAGTGGAAGTTAACCACGGTGGTAAATAGCCTGAAACTGGGGTATGGTACAGTGCAATCCACTTATAACGATACCACGTATAAGGATGTACCACTTATAACAACCAGTTTCTAGACTAGAAACTATCAGTTTCTAATTCATATACAACGATAATCGGTTATAACAATTGAGTTTTTGGGTTTACTTATTATTGTTATAAGTAAATTGCACTGTAAATGAAAAAAAGGGGACAGAAAAAAAAAGGATGCCTAGACAGACCTTTGTTTCAGGGCAATAAATCACTACCAGCTCATCTCCACACCCCTGATGATCAAGCGCCAATATGACGGTAAAAGAAATAAAAAAAGATATTGAGTGCATTGTAACCAAGGATCAGATAGAAAAATCCAAGCTCTTACGTCTTGCGATGGGACATGTGCGACCCTTGACCGACAAAGGACTGTGCGTCTCTTTATTTAGAAAATGTACAGGAGCTGGCACGAAGGCAGAAAGAGCAGAAGGAGCTACTCATCTCGGCGGGTCAGAGCCCCACGCTCATCGCCCTGGCACAGCAGAAGGAGCGAGAGGCATTGGAGAAAGGCCACCAAGAGGAGATCAACAGAATCGATATGAAGATCATCACCAAGCTCGACCAATGCGTGAGTACAGGCTTTCACATTACTCTCGACTGATATTTGTTCCAGAAAAACAATAGATAAAAAAAGCGGTTTCCTTGGTCTCTTCTTAAAGGACATCATAAACAAGGACATAAGAACGATTTTGAACTTGAAAAAGATGTTTTTTTGACTTTTCAGGGACCTTGCAATATGCACAATATTTTTATACAGTTCTGTGAAGGTTATTATTTTGTGTATAATAAATTAACGAAACCGAAACTGACGTTTGGTTTTCCCACCATACAACCTCTCTCAAATTGAATGTGACGTCAACAGTGAACTTTCGGTTTTGGTAGTATTTAGTGGTCATGAGCGTAGATGGCACGGTGAGCTGTAGCGGCGCCTTGTTGTTTGAGAGTGTTGTACCGCCTTGCGACAGCGAGTAACCCGGACATTTGCGCTTCTTATGCCGCTTACCAAGCTACCCCTTCAATTGGTTGCCACAACACTAGTTTCCACGCTTCACACAAAGCATGGATAACCCGGTGACTCGTAGCTGTTTGTCGACGCAACGCAGTCAAGCGCAACTACTTGGATAGTTTTTTGTTTACATCATTTATTGCCAATCGCATTGCGAGCAGAGCTATTGCATTTTCAGGAACTATAATCGTTGTGTGTCACTGTTATGTACCAAGTGACTCAAAACACCGTGACAGGCTTATAGCGGATGCCATCAGCTTTACTATCCCAAGACATGACACAAATTTGGTCCTGCTCGAGCAGGCGTGAAAGCGGCAGGGTTTGGGGCTCACCCAGGGGCATTTATCAATGTCTTCGTTCCCGTATATTCGCGCACAACACTTCAGCACACCACAGGCGCAGAAAGGTCTCACAGGATGAAGGGCTGGATGGATGTGCAGGTAAGACTGGGGCGTGTTAGACGAGGTCTGACAGAAGCTTTTTGACATGGGCCCTGAGGGCAGTACCGGAGGCCGCAGCGCGTCAGCCTGGAACAGTTTCTGCAGCTCCCTTTGTGCGCCGAACTAAGAATGGTGCGACAAAACAAACAAAACAATGTTGTCCCATTTTTTATTTTCTCAAGAAAAAAAAAAATATTTATGTAGATGTTTTCATCTCAAGCCTATTAAACAAGGAGGAAAAGTTAAAATGGTATAGACAAAACACTAGCGCCAGCAGAGGGTGTCAAACACGCGACCTGCGACGGGAGGCAAAAACACTAGTTTCTGCCACTGCGGTTTCTACGGCTCGTACCTCGAGATCAAGAAATCGGGAGAACATGCGGTTTGCGCCCTCCTTCATTTGAAAAATGCCCCCAAAACATATATTTTTTTCGTGAAAATTAAAAATTAGACTTTTTTAGCTTGCCCGATTTGAGATGAAATCACCCATATATATACACGTTGCGACACTAAACATTTTTCGAATCAGTCCACGCCCAATATTCACGAGTGAAAAGCGCTCGGCTATTAGAGTCCACACGTCAGCAGACTAAAATAGTATTTCATTATTGCAGTCAACCTTTCTGCCAAAAGTATATAAATTTCGTTGTTATTAAACTTGGGGAAGCAGGATATATGTTACAAAGAGAACTTATAGAGCCGCTGAAGTGCACGTGACCCAAAAGCTGGATTTTTTTGCAGTCTCGAGTGTTTTTGTCATCGGTTTGGACGTGATTATTGCTAGACTTTCTAAATTAATTTGTGCGACGCAGAAGTGTAACTTTGGGCTAAAACTTTGTCAACCTTAACTGGAAGACACCTGGCATCTATTTCAATCGTTGAAGCTGAACTTCCAGATCGTTGTTATTGTCCCTTTAAATAGTGTCTTACCAGAGCAGTTGTGTCTAGCTCATTTAGTGCATAGGGCATGATGTGGCGTACAGTCGATGATGAGGGGCCAAACTAAACCCACCCCCTATTTAGTGCATCACTCTGAACTGTCGGCTTCACTAAGCTTGTTCTTTTTTTGATTGTGCTTTGAGTAGTTAGTGTTTATTACGAACTCTTCACACTTGTGAATAGTAAAAAGAGGTATCTGCTTTTGCAATAAAACGAAAGCACTCATGAGGTTCAAATTTCTCTTTCATCTCGGGTTCTTGAGCAAGGTTAACCTTTAAAGGGGCCCTGCAAGGTCTTTTTTACTCATTCTTAATTTTCACCGAACGTAGTAACCTAATGAAACTTTTCTTTTCTCGAATTTCGCTTTATTTTAGAAGTCATAGGCGAATTGAACTTACAAAAACAAGCAAAAAATAACCTCCTTCATGGCGTCCTTGGTCACTTGAGTGGCCGTGAACTAGAGGAGGAGGGGTAGAGGTGGGGCTGAAAGGGGGGGGAACTAGAGGAGGGGGGAGTGCGGCAGCCGTGAGCTCAGTGAGTGCTCACGGCTGCCACACTTCGTGTCGACAGCTCGAGAGGGCACCACTAAAGCATGTTCTGGGTAGGCTGTATGAAGCGGGCAGCCAGGGCGGCTTTCATTGCATTTGCTGCACGATTAAACACTAATTTGGCATGACACTTTATAGGCCACAAACGAGAGCAAACAAGGGGTAAACTTCAGTTCTGAATTGGAGCTACTTCGCGCTGCCATACCGCCAAACCGCAAGCCAAACCTTCTCGCTGAAGGCCTTCGGAACGCTCGGAACCAGTCGGATCTTCGAGCCCGTATACGGCCGCAGCGCCGCCGCAAACATCCGGGACTTTTCTACACTCACCGCTCGTCGGTGCCTGATCCCACCACGCCTTTCTAGTATGCGTCGCCTTTTCCACCGCATGGTGGCGGGTATGTTGACGGGTCATTTCTTGTTGTCATACTTTATAAACTGCATTTGTTTCTTTTCTGATCTAAAATACTGAACAAAAACTACCTTTATAAATAATTTAAACTGTTCGCGCTACTTATATTTTGTATTTCGACTGAAAAGAAGCTTTTAGCGGCTCTGACCAGTAGTAAGCCCAGAACCAAAGACTTCACATTTTGCGCGCTTTCGGCACCGTGGGTCGCCCTCGTACGTGAAGGAGGTTTCCGAGTCCTCCGGTTAAAATATGACGCACTGATGTTTAGTTACTCTCTTCGTGCCCGCTGGCTTGCCCAAACCCCAAGAGACGTGGAAACCGCAAAAAAAGGTAGACGCCTAATTATGATTGCAGGGCCAATTTAAGATAATCAATTTAATCAGGGTCATAAAAAAGGAAGCAGGATATATGTTACAAAGAGAACTTATAGAGCCGCTGAAGTACCGAATGAGGGACGAGGAAACAGCCCTGCAGTCAGTAATAACTAACTCACATTATTTCTTTCATTTAAGGCATTACTAGAGAAAATAAGGGGTGAAAAACTGAAAAGCTTCACTTCCTTCCAGTTTCATATATGTATTCAGAAATTGGAAATAGCCACTTCACTGGCCCGATGCATCGTTGGAACGTCATAGTATCATCAAGATTATGTACTCTTATGCAGGAGATAATTCGATTTCTGCCAGCATACAAAAAAGGAGGCAATAGTGAAAACAATGGATCAACTATTTACAACCAAAAATTGTCCTCTCAGATAAGACATTTTAAACACACAGCAGTGAGTACATGAGTTGGCCCAAGAAATCCCTTCCATGTTTTATTTAAAAAAAAGCATCTCGTGGGTTACTTCAACTTTTTCAGTGCATATACCTAGTAAGTTTTGTTGTAAATTGTTTTCCTTTGTGAGAAAAATGTAATTCTTGTTTTGTGGTGCGAAATGGTTTTATATTTATTTTTTTCCCATAATTTCGTGTTTTGCTGCTGAGTGTTGCAACAGGGGCTGGCACGTAGGTGATTTAATTCGCCTTTTGTCTCAGCCCCCCCTGACAATTGTTTCAAGAATAAAATAAACAAGCAAACAAACAACCCCAAAGCCACATCGCAAAATTTTTTCTCACTGTTTACTGTTTTCTCTTCATGAGAAGATTTGGACAAGTAGTAGGTTTGTTGGGAACCCTGTCAACCGTACAAGACACATGCTCATGGGTGTACATATCTGCCAAGCGAGTTTTCGGCCTATATGCTTTTTCACTGAGGTACAGTTAGTGAAAGTGTTCACTCTGAGCAGGTCAGAGCACAAATTCAGACTTGATCCAGTATTCCAGCTATTACTCTGAGACCTTCTCACTAGTCTTGCCCTTGGAACTTGTATTGACTAGGGGGTGTCGCAAACTTTTGTCGAACCTGAAGGTTTTACTGGTAACCTTCGAGCTTTCACTAAAATTAGAAAAAGTTCGACTTGTGGACAGTGTTGCCCGGCTTCTACACAAATATTTCGAATTTTGGAAAACAAATAATTGAGAGAGTAGTTTACCTTATATCTTATAAAATGGTCACCAATGTTTACACCATATAAATGCGAAAATATGTTCTTTTAATGCTTTTGTTAGTTGGTAATGTGAACCAGTGATGCCATACACCCAACAAATATTACACTTTTCCTCCACCAGGTGAAATCAACTGTTTTTTCTAATTGTCACGCATGCTTAAAAAAGTAACTTTTGTCAAACATCATGTTGAAATTTTGAAAAAGTCGAACTTGGTCGAACTCAAACATGGGCAGGTTCATGGCATCCGTAGTATTATTGACCTTATACCCGAGAAGATCACAATATTTTGGCAATAGACCCCTTTCAAAAGCCCATCGAGCAACATTGGCGGTCGCCATTGCTTGGACATGACGCTTGTGATTGGATCCGAGTCCTCGCCGAACGCTAACGCTGCGCTCGTTTTCATTACGAGCTGAGTCGAGCTCACACTGAAGGCTGACGCAGCCCTCGTGTCCAATACATGCTCAGAGTATGTGATCAAGCATTGGCAGACAGGTGTTGGCACGGGCTTTTTAAAAAGGGTCTATCGTAATTGTGCAATTATTTAAGCCGTTTTTTTTTTTTTTTTTCTTTTATTATTATTATTCACGCTCTGGTTGACAGAATTTCTTAAAGATGGATGACATATTGGAAACCTTGCATTAGAGGAGTGACACCAGTTCTGATCCTCCGAGAC